CTGCCCATTATGTGTGCAATATGTTAAATAGGTATTCATTATCCAGATTTAGCTGGCAAGATATTTTTACTTAATGATGAACTGAAAATAGTAAACCACTCTGCAGTTTGCCAATTGTTTGAAAAAAAAAAAAAAACCCACTGAACATTTTATGGCCAAGTGGTGTACAATGTAATGGCATGTTACTATAAGTCATACTGTGCCATACTTGGTTAAAGTAAGAAAATCAGTAAAGGGATTTTATCTCATGATAGTGCATGTGAATTGTCTTGCCCATGCATTGCATCATCTTGCTGAAGAAATCCATGCATATTACGCTGATATTAACAAGCTTGTATCTGATATAAAGAAAATGTTCTTAAAATACTATATCGTATACAGTGTTTTAAAACCCAAGCTCCTAAGCTGTGTCGTTGAAGCCTGTTATAACACATTGAGGGAACATGGCTCTTTGCATGCATGCACTATAGTGAAAATTTTCAAACTGTAAAGTTAACTGGGAATACCCGTGATGTGGATAATGATGATGATGATGCTTTATTTTATTGATGCAATAAATAACATTGATGAATTAGGCAATGTTTTAAAAACATTATGAATTACATTTATGAAGAAGTATTGGAAATCGTTTTAAAGCACAAAATATAGATATTGACGTTGTTGAATTATTCCTACTATTTCAAAATCTGAAACAAAATAAAAAGCATAAAATGTATGCATATAACCTACATGTTGAATGATCAATTCTAAAGCTTATTAAACACTACAAAATGTATATAATACATAATTAGTATAGTAGAAAAGCATGAAAAGAGTACACAAATTATAAACTTTGCAAATAAAATGTCTCATGTGTAGAAAACAGTATTGCATTACTAAATTATCACTTATGGTATATTTCACAACAATTCAAACAATATTCTGGTTTGTCTGGGCAGTCATGATACTCATATGTGGTGTCCATGCATTTGTGTCCGTTCCTTTTATGGTGTCCCTGCATTCGCTTCGATTAGAACAGGGTTTCATTTTTGTCATATATTTCTTTTGCCAGCTGCAAATTCTCTTTTCTCAGCAGTATGTATGAGATTCCTTTGAAGTCTGCTTTTCTTCCTTCGTTGATGGCAAAAGAGATTTTATAACGTTTAATCAGTAGTCATAAAGTGACATTTTACTTCTAGAATATTTATTTTAGAGGGCATGTGAATAGATTGCAGTTACTTCAATAACATGAAAGAACAAGTTTTTATACCAGCATAGTGTTTTCCTCTCCAAGAGGTAATATGAAACATTTGCTATTGCCTCCGTAATCCGGGCTCGTCGGGACTTCGACAATTCTGGATTAGGGGTTTTTCTGGATTGTAGATCAATTTAAATCTGATAAGACGGCATGCAGAAATTATACAATTAAAAATATGAAACCGAAATTTACGAAATAAAGAGCAATTATGATCTAAAGGGTATCAAAATTTACAAAAAAAAAAAAAAAAAAGCTTAATATTTATTTGTTTTCTTTATTAAACATTTCTTTCAATGTAAGTTGTTTCATTTTTTGTGCTAAACGCACGTGCGTAAACATTAAACGCGCATGCGTAAAGCATACAAAAAAAAAGTTTGTGGCTTTGAGGTCCGGATTATAGATCATTCTGGATAATGAAGTCCAGATTACAGACTTTGTACTGTAGTTGATTATTAGCAAAGGCTTCTGCTTTATTTCATTTCTTTTATTTTAAATCTGTGCTATTTCTTTTTTGTACTCCATTGAAATGTAACACACATCACATTTATCATTCCATTTTCTGATTCCATTTCTCCCTGACAGTATCTTTCTACAGTATTGCCTTTTCATAATTTAGTAACCAGTCTACATCATTTATGCTCTCATAATCAGAAAGGTCAGTTTTTTCTAATGGTTTTAATATTTCAGCATTAATCAGTTTTATTTGCTTTCTATTTCTTGGGTTTTGAAAGTCCTGTCATACTTGTATGTGCCATTTTTAAAAATGCACATATAAAAATTCAAGCACAAAAGCAACAGGTGGTAAAAATAAAATAATAATGCTTTCTGAATTGCCAAAACAACCTCTTCATTTAACTATCAGTGCTACACTAAAAATAAGAATACAATTATGATAGTCGACCGATGTCTCAGAGTGTCACTGGCATGCAAAATATCTCCATGCTAACATGCCAGCCTGCTGGTGGCAGTGAATGTGTTAACATATACCAAAATTCATTTTTACAAACATTTTCTGGTGTCACAGTTTAGCAATTTTAGCTAATTATGTGTCAAACACATTGTACCGTACAGTATAATGCCTAAATAAGAGCTGGGTTAGTAACTCTTCCAATAATAAGCCATATCCCTCTGCTTTATGTACCACCATTTCACTGGTCCCTAATAAGAATTCTATATTCTGAGTATGAGCACCAGTCTTAGGATCTGCAAAGTTATATTTGCAGTTAACCATTAAGTGGCAGAAACCAGTTTTCTTCAGTTCTTTGGATTTATAATTGTTCTAGTAGTCCCACCACCCTGATTGGTATGGGGTTAGTGAAGCCGGCTGTCACATCATTGGAGCCAAGTTAAAATCCTGATTGTGATGTGCATGTTTGTTAGTTTAATAATGTCCGTTTGTTATGGGGGTGCTTAACACTTTACCGACCAATCGCGTATTAATCAGCTTTTGATCGCCAATGCCGACCGATCAATAGCCAATTAATAGGCTTTTTTCGCCAATGCCTACTGACCGATAGCCTGCTAATCGCTTTTTTCTCAGGGTTACCTAAAAATAGCCTATCAATCGGTCCACGTGGCGATAAACAATTGTCATTTGCTATATCATCTGCATTTTATTAGTAGTATTGAGGTACATTGCTCACTTTAAATCCATTATTGTGAATTGAGTTATTTCGTAAACTCCCATATTTTCACACCATTTTTTAAAAATTTACCATTCAATATGAGCGAAAAAAAATGGGTACTTTTCCGTTTTGATGGCGCAAGTGATAAAGTTGCTGAAAATGGTACAACGGATGTCAAACGGAATATCATTGCTGGTGACCTTTTACGTCTCATTTTCCAAGTGAGTCGCAGCCATTTTTTTATCAGATTAATTGTTTCTTTCAGTACTGGTATAAAATTGCATAGAATTTTTACCAGATAGTTTAGTTTTATGCCCTACGGCCATTCGTGGTAATTAAGCCAATTAGGATGCAATCACACCATTCATCCGAAGGCAAAAATACAGAAAAGGCAAAGTAAATTCTTAAATTCATCAATTCTAATGCGAATGCACTAGCGAAGTAAAGCACTGCGGTTTTACATAATTTCTGAGTAGGCTATTCGTACGAATAAAAATGATTCTTGCATTTAAACTTCTATTCCATATTAAGATTTAACTTGAAATTAATGTAGAATGAACTAATAACTGAATAACTTGAAATTAGTGAGAGAATTAGATTTTTGTAGCGTAGTTTACGTGAGATGAGATCACTTGGGAGTCACCTGATATGAACCGGCGAATCAGGATGCTTGTACCATGAAAACATAGTAAATTCTTAAATTAATTTCGTTTTACAAATTTTTTGTCTTTATTTATTGCTTTTTTACAAAATTTTAATCGATATTAAAATGTTTATACCTTCAAAATAAAAAATCCTCAGAATTAACATTTGTTAACATGTTTTATGTGTATACTGTGTGTTGTCGCCAATAAAGTCTGCTTGGCGAGATTTGCAGCGGCGAAACGGAAAAGTACCAAAAAATGGTACTGGAGAGTTTTATTTAAACGATTTATCAGATTGTCCTGACGGTTATTCAGGAAGTGATAGTGGTGACGAAAGTGATGGCAGCAAGAATCTGTGGCTCAGCGACCGGTCGGACGTGCGTATGCTGTTGAACCGCTAACGGTCGGTAAAGTGTTAAAATACTATCTAGGTAAAAGTTGTCTTAAGAGGCTTGGTATTACAGGAAGAGGACTGAAAGACCTTCAAATCTGCCTCCTTAGCCATTGTGCATCGAAATGCAGACAAAGCAATGCAGCAAGTCTGGTGAGATTATACCTGTAAAACCACTGAAGTTCTGGTGTCCTGCCCACTCCTTGTTCTGTTGTGAATCACTGATCCTTCATTTGTGTGTTCTTGTATATTGTCTTTAAGGATTCTTGTATTTCTATTGGTACATGAACTGAGGAGTCATTGTATGAAAATATCATCTAAACTCTACTTTTGCAACAATGCATTTTACAAAAGGGGATTCACCAGTCTATAATTTTATTAAAAATCATCAAGTTATCTTATTTTATTGGCTCAATATCTTGTCAGGAATTTTGAGCAGATTTCCCTCATGTAATTATTCCAGTTGAAAACTTGTTTCTCCCATCTTTCACTGCTTTTTATGCTATCATATTAAACTGGATACCTTTGTCTAATAATAAATGAAATGTCTTGACAAATATATTTTAATTCACTATTTGGAGGTCTTTCTTCTTGCAGTTGCTGACATAGCATGTCTAGGTGGTTTCTTTTAATATACAGTTGTTTATTATGGCCATTTTCACAAATTCTTTTGAGGAGAAAATACATTTGTCTCAGGGGAAAAGAAACTATAGCATCTTTGGATCATTCACTGGGGATCTTTCTTTTGTGGGTGGATAATAGTAAATAATCATTTGCATGCTGCTTAAGAGTTTTTTATTTATTAAATTTTCAAAACTTCTGATAGTGCATTAATGAAAAAGAGAATAAGGTTTAAATTCTGTATTCTTTTTTTACTGTTTATATATTTTATTACTTATTAACTGCTTGCCTGATTAGTCCAATTAATCCCGGGTTCGTATATATTGCAGTTAATTATTATCCCAAGAAAACTCGGACGAAGCAGAATTTATCAGTGAGATTTGTTTTATCATGGTTAAAAAAATGTGATGATTTTTTGCAATTTTTTTCAAAAAAAATTTGTAAGAGAAGTGGTTAAATTATTAAACTTTTAACAATTTTAGATTCGGCAGTTGGAGTAATTTTACCTCCATCCGTCGATCCCGTTCAAAGGCGGGAATTTCTTGATCTCCTAAATCGCCTTACTGCTCTGAAGGAAGAATATGATTCTTCAGCAGATGAAACAAAATACTCGGCTCGTAAGGAATCATTTAGTGATACTTTATCAAGAGGTATTGTTACAGGTAAGTGTATATTAACCCTTTAACTGCTTAAGATGTCTTTAAACATTTTCAGAGATCGCTCTAAAAATGCTTAACACGCATATACACGGAAGTGAAATTTCTTGAAAAATGATCTAGACGCGTATACACTAAGGCAAGATTTTCCGATAAATGCTTAAGATGTATTGAGATGCTATGCAAGATCATCCTTCCCCTTGCGTTTCTGCAGGCAGCTGTCATTTGCATAAAGCTCTTAATAGGATGCGAAATCTGTTTGAATGTAGCACTTTGCAGAAGAGCTTTATGAGTGAAACCTTATCAGACAGCAAGTATATATTATTCTGCCAGCTTGTTGAATGAAGATAAGTCATTTTACAACTGTTTGCCTTCTGGGTACTTTATAGTAATGAAAGGCCAATCCACAGTCACTGATTACATCCCCACATCTTTAGTAAAAATAGGAAAACTTCAGAAATGTAATGAAAAATGCATAAGTCATTTGATAATATAATTGACTATTTAATTTTCATATTAAAAATTGGTTACAGTTTTTGATTTGTCAACAACAAGAAAAAGACATATAATTTCAAAATTAACTTTTTGTTTTCCTTTGTAATTTCAAGTGGAATTTTTTATTTTTTTATAAAACTTTTTGAAATGACAACGCTGTTTTCAGCATGCCTGAATTTTGCAATTTGTATGTGTGACTGACTATTTACTATAAACATGAACTTGCATGTAAAAAAACTCTTAAATGTAGAAATTAAAGTATTCTATTCAGGAAATTAAATTAAAACAAGTAAATGAATATCCCAAAATATTTTTGGATATCAGTAGCTTTGTTTAAATAATTTATTAAAATGCAACAAAATTTTATAATCTGCATGCGGAGAAAATTCTTCGCTGTATCTTGGAACTATTTTAGAAAGAAATCTATTAGTATAAGTCTTTTGTTCTTATAAATAATGCAGTATAAGAGAAAGGAAACAATAAGTGCATGGAAGTGTTAGATATTTTGCGCACAAAATATTGCAGTTGAAAAGATATTTTATTATTAGAAAATAAATTATTTCCTCTCCAAATGCCATTGCTGACAGCGATAAATTGAATGAAAGTTTTTCTTTATATTGAGATTTTAATTTATACATTAATTCGTTATTACCTAATAACTATATCTACATAATTATTTTGCAAAGACTTTTAATACAAATGCTAATAAACACCCTCAGCGGTTGAGGGGCTAAGTCGCCGAACACTCTTAGTTTGAGCCGGGTTCTAATCCCCGAGAAGGGGCTGAATGATAACAGTTTTCATGGTTTTTCCTCAAGTTTAACGGGGATATGAGTTAGTTTCCTTTACGAAATCCTTCCTGAAGGCATACTTATGAGATATTTTCTTCCTCCTTTCTGCATGCCTTCGTGGTGTCACTGTAGCACACTCGGTGCATTTTCAAGAGATCCAGGTTCAAGTACTGGCGAGAGCATTTCTCATATTTCATGATCTCAAAAATCCTAATGACTATACAGTGGTGCCCAGACTAAAAGGTGGTGGATGATGACTCTTTACCACCAGGATGTGGCGAATGCGTCCCGTAATCTCTTGTTGCCCTTTAAAAGGGGGATTTTTCTTCTTTTCTGCATGCATTAGTGGTTTCACGGTGGCACACTTTCTGTGTATTCGAGAGGTCCAAGTTCGAGTTCTGGCGAGGGCATTGCTAATTTTTTGTCTCCTGTCTCAAAAATTCTAATGACTCTACAGACTTACTCTTGGAAGGTAGTCTTGTTTATGTTGCCATAATTAAAGAGGAGCTATGAGAAGGATTTTAATTAATGTATGTACTTACTGCTTTCATTAAGAGGAAAAACCAACCCCAAATCATCTTGTGTAATCTTCCATATTTATGCATATTTTTGTTTTTGATATATTTTACTAAGAAAGAAGTTTCTCGTATTAGCAGGATAAAAAGGCATTCAATATTGTATAAAGTAATCCATGTTTTCTCAGTTATTTGGGAAAGACAGACCATTTTACAATGGAGGAAGCAGTAATTAATTGATGGTCATCATATAGATGAGTGTTGAATGACGTCCAAAAATTTTCACAGTGAGCTAAACATAATTAAATTATTAATGATAAACTTTTTCTAACAACAAAGACATATAAGCAAGTAGTTACGTAAACTGCATGATCAAGAATAAAAAATGCAAGTGATGTGACAATTCTAAAACTAAATTTCTGTAAACAAAGAAAATTGGTACAATTCCCATAATGGCCCACCTGTGGACAAGTGGATACAATCACTGGGTACTATTAGTTTAGTCCGAATCGAATTTTGAGAATGACTACATAGCATTTTCACTGTTTTTTCTCATGTACAGCATAAACCAGTTTAAATCCCTGAATTCCTTCATAAAGTCATCTCTTCCTTCAGACAAATATAGCTCACATTCTTTGCCACAATCAGTTACAACTAAAAATTTCTCTGTCATATATTATGCTTGCAAATTATTTGTTCACCTTTGTTATTATGATTGGACCTCAAAAGTGATATATTTTTTTAACTTAACGATTAAAATCCTGTATTAGAAAAATAAAATTTGTAGACATGAATGTGCTTCAAAAAATTGATGGACGAATAAATAATAGAAAAGCAAGTGAGAGTTGCCACTCCTTGAAATGTAAGATCTTTCCATTATCTTCCATGCACACTCAGGAAGAGCTGCTTCTTAGAGCGTTGTCATTCAGCAAAAGCATCAGATCTTTAATTAATTTTTCTCATTTAATCAATTTGCTATTGAAGAAGGCCCATCTATGTTTTCATGGCATTTTACAGGACGTTGGGTAAAACATTAGCAACAGTTTTAAAGGTATTTGCAGAAAATAACTTGGTACGCTAAGGGTTTATAAATAAGGTTTTAGAATTGAAATTGAAAGCAGTTTTATTGATCTTTACTACTCATCCTTTATTTCGTCTGAAAATTAATAATAAAATCAATTTAAACATAATTCTCAATACTAATTCAGAAGTCAAGCAACAAAAATCGGCATTATATTTTCAAAATTTTCACAGGACTAGTTTCTATGGTTTTACCAAACCACCATCCTCAGCTGCAAAACCACAAATGACCGCAAACCAGATAATTCTCAATACTTAAATATTTGTTCTTAGTTGATGAATATCACTAGTCTCTCCATGTATTCACAGTTAATAAAACTTCATGTGTTAAAACTTTTGTTTCATTGTATGAATGTGTATTTATTTTCTCCTTTATAAAAGGTATATGTATAAGCTGCCTTTGAATTACTCCATATATTGCATATGCAGATTTTGTAGTGGGATTAAAAAATGATGTTGCAATATATAGTGGTGACTGTATATGGTAATATGACTATAATACGCTGTAGATTTGTAATTACTGTTCATACTTTGTTAGGTAATTCAAAAAGAAGTTCAGTTTGTAATTTAATAATGCTAAGAATTTTGTATATATGTAATTAATTTTAGTGAAATCATATGTCAAATAGTAGTATTTTTTGTATAATGTGACATAAAATGCTTGAAAGAGACAATATCCTGCCAGAAAAATAATTTACAAGAGGCAAGTCTATTTAACATTTCTCGGTACTTACCTATTATCGCAACCAGGCCAAAATTCGCATAAATTGTCAAATTTGGCGACCCTACTTACGGCAACCCTACGTGTTATACATAGTTTTGTAAAAAGAGCATGTGGAGATTCACAAAATTTTCCTGCATTTTCATGCAAAATTTTGTAATTTATGAGAAAATAGCAGTGTACATGGATAAAGTCAAGAATGTGCGCAATGCCATTTTTGTGCAATTCTGGGGTGTTTTTTTTTAAGTAAAAATAAGTCGACGTGTACATGGTTATGGCGAATACGGTTTTCAATCAGTGCTAAAAGCAATAGCCAAAAGATTTCCGCCAAAAAATAATTCTGCAACTTATTCAAATTCGAAACCGGAAGGGTTTAATTGCTATTTTATATTTTAAAAAAAAAACAAATAATATAAAAAACTGTATTAAAAATTATCTGTAATTAATAAATGTACATTTTCTTTCTATTCATACTTTTTTACTGAAACTTACAAATAGCGCCAACCTGGTTGCGATAATACTTAAGTACCCATTTCTCAAATCGAGGAGATATCGCCAAAAGTCGCCAAACTTGGCGATCATTTGGTGACATTTTAGTCTGCTCCATGTGTAACTGTAATTGTTATTGTAATTGAATAAATGTATTTAACCTATATATGTAACTGTAACCCTATCCAGCCTTCATATGCCTTCCAGGCCCACCAGCAGCTGAGTGGTCAAGTCACTGAACACTGGTGGTTTGGTTTGAAATTCGAATCCTACGAACGGGCTGGCTGCATGGGAGTTTTCTCGGTTTTTCCCATGTGTAATGTATATACGTGCCAGTTTCCCCTAGAAAGCCCTCCACAAAGCCTTCCTTTCCCCTTAGGCAGATAGCCCTTCAGGCTTTGCCGTAATTACATAAGCCAAACCAAACCTCTTATGCCTTCCAAAAATTTCGAGAAGGTACTAGAGATTTCTCAGTGGGCCGGGGAAAAACCATATGAGACTGGAGAGCATTATTTTCATTGAGTCTTGACTTTCTCAGTTGTTCAGTGTTGAATTCAAAGTATTGAGATATGCGTGAGAGCGTCACCTTTTATATGCATATGGCATTGTGTTTAACATGCTTTGTAGTTTAAAATGTAACTATTTGTTGTGCTTTGTGATACTGGAAGAGCTCTACATATATTTGCTGTGAAAAAGATCCGGAACTCGTGAAGGGATTTTTTGGTAAAATAAATTTTATCAAGCTATCACAGGTTTGTGCTTTCAATCCATTATGAGCTCATACACATGCAAGAATTTTTGTTGTCAGGAGCAGGTTTGAATATCAGAGACAAGAGCAATGGAGAAGCAACTAAGACAGCTTATGGCAGCCTTTCAGCATTCAAAAAAGAGATGAAAGTGGGCCAGGAATCTCCTTAGGAAAAGATGAATCTGTTCAAGAAAGGTGGAAGGGGCTGTTAAATGAGTTCAAGAAAAGAGTGATGCAGGTCAAAAGGAAATAAAAATAGGAATTACCTCCATAATTAAAAAGAAATTCAAGGCTGTGGAAGGTTCAATAGACATGGTTGAAGATAGAGTTTGAGAAAGTAAAGGAAGAGTTTCTTCTGTGAAACAACAAATTGAAGAACAGATTTCTACTGGGAAAAATATATATATATATATATATATATATATAGATTACAGACTTTTGCTGTTGCCAAAGAAATTGAAAGCTTAAAGAAATTCATAATGACAGCAGGAGGTAACTCTGATGGTTTTAAATTTTTACCCTTGCCTTTTTGACTGTCTCTAAAGCTGTCTGCTTATGGTTGAAGAAACTCCTAGGAACTGTCTTAAGACCCAATCATATATATGTAAGATAAAAATGTATGAATCAGAATTATAATATAACTATAAAGATTAATTCTTCCTCTCTATTCTAAAATCGTAATAACTTATCTGCATTGCGTCATTCAAATTAATCATGCGATCTTATGTAACCGTTAATACCAAATGCCTCTTGACGACCAATCACCGAATTGTAAACCAAAACTTTTCTCTTCTCGTGCTTTCATCTTTCATAACTACGCACTTCAGCTTTTGCTCTCTACTGTGCTAAGATGTAATTTCGCTGGCTTGCTTTCTATCCCAACAATATCAAAAATGTAAATCTTCTGTGGAAAGGCACGACTAGAGTGCCAAGTGATTGTGGCCACAAATATCAATTGGAAATAAAAATAGAATTAAAACTGCCTCGACTGCCAAGTTCTTTAAATACTACGCAATCAAAATTCTTCTTCAATATGGATCTAAGCAAGCATCGACACTGCTCCGGCTTTTCCTTTGCTTTTATTATGACATGTATATATGTGGAATGGAAAAGATTGCAGTATTGATGGCTTAGAACTTGGATCCATAATGAAGAGCAAACTTAGCCACATTAACAAACAGATTAAATACTCATCTTTATTTCAATTGAACTTTGCAGTCACAATTTACTGAAGTAAACAAATCAGTTTACTTCAGAGTAGTTAACGTTTTAAGTGCTACTGGTACGATAAAAAGAATAACATCAAGCAGCATTTTAGCGAGAACAGAGGTAGATCGAGAAGAGGGAATGTGAACAGAGGTATCGAGAAGCCCCATTTTAAAGCACTTCATATTTCTGCAGTGAGTGGTGGAATTAATAGAGATTTGATCATGGGACATATTAGTGGAGTTCCTTACAATATGACCATAGATATTGGATCCAGTGTTACCATCATTGGGAAAAAATTAGCTCAACAACTGGAAGGTAAACTGATCTGAACACTGCCCTGCGTTACCCTGCAGATTATATCCGAGATAAAATTTAAACTGATGGAAAATTAATGTTAACATCACATTTGGGAGGGCCATTTACCATCACAACAGCATATATAGCAAAAATTACTGACTGTTATACACTCATAGAGAATTTTTAAGTAAGTAAAATTTTTTTTTATTGGACATTAAGAATAACGAACTACATTCTGCCTCCGATGACATAAGCCTGCTTGGAATTTAAGATGAAGGTGTTAAATCTATCCATCAAATAGTAGCTCAGTTCAATAAGACAGTATCACAGTAACAGCAAGAACATAAATTTTACTTCCTGGATCCACAGCTGCAAACAGAAATTTCCAGTATGGCATCATGGAATCTCAAGAACTGTTGCAGCCCAAAAGGAGTACTAGTAGCTTCAGTACTCCTTTGTTGACCTATCAAGAACCTTGAGAGTTGCCAATATAACCAATAAGCAGAAGTCATTAATTAGGAAAGGTGAAGTGGTTGCAGCATGCAACTTGCATTGAACAACCCGAAAATCCACTAATCTCTATGTCTGAGAGCCTAACATCAGTGTTACTGCAGAATGCACAGCTAGGCAATGAAGAGACAAATACTGCAGAGCGTGTCATTCAAGTATTTCAAAATGTTTTTTCCTGCTTATCTTCTGATGCAGGTCAAACCAGTTCAGCTGAGCATAGAATTGATACAGGAGTTTATCCATCAATCGAGCAACATTAAAAAAAAAAAAAAATCTACCATTTGCTAAACAACAGGAGGTAGGGAAACATCTAAAAGGACATGCAAGAAAGCGATGTTATCGAGCCTTCAGCAAGTCCGTGGGACTCTTCCATCACCCTGGTTCGAAAGAAAGATGTTTCAACTAGATTTTTCATTGGCTGTTGCTGGTTGAACAAGGTTACAAAGACAGACAGCTACCCTCTTCTTAGAATTTTTATATTCTAGACACTCTTTCTGGTTTTCAACACTTGATTTAAAAAGTGGATATTGGCAGGTAAATATATATCCTGACAACTGAGAAAAGATGGCATTTACTGCTGGACAAGGACTTTGACAGATCAGAATTATGCTATTTGGATTATGTAATGTGCCAGCAAGTCTATTTTACATTGAGTAAATGGCTGTCTTGCTAAATTGTCAAGGTATTGCCAAAGTAGCAGTGGTTTTGGTGAGAAATTGCCAAAATTCCCCAAACTTGGCGACATATATGTCTGGTCCATATATGACTGTGATTGAATAAATGTAGTTAATCTATATATGTAGCTGTAATCATATTCGGCTCTCATATGCCTTCCAGTAATTTCAAGAAGGGGAAGGTACTAAAGATTTCTTGGTGGCCGGACAGAGCATCAGTTTCTCAATTGTTGTTAAGTCAAAGCTGGATTCGGAGTGTTAAGATATCCATGAGAGCTTTGCTATTTAGACGTGCTTTATAGTGCATCATGTTTAAGGTTTTTAGTAGTTTGAAGTGTAACTACTGATTGTGTTCTGTAGTAATGAAAATAGTTGTATGAGTATTTATTATGTAAAGATCCAGAACTGTAAAATTGTTCATTTGGTAAAATAAATTTCATCAAGTTATCATCAGTTCTCTGTGCCTTCAATCCATTATGAACCCATGTGCACACATCAATTTTTGGTGTCAGGAGCAGGATTAAATGCCAGCGACAAGAGTGATGGAGGAGCAACGGAGACAGCTTGTGGCAACCTTTGCTGCATTCAAGAAAAGATCAAAGGGGCTGTTAAATGAGTTCGAGAAAAGACTGAAGCAGGTTAAGAGGAAATGAAAAGAGAAATTAACTCCATAATTGAAAAGAAATTCGTTGCTGTAGGAGGTAAAATAGACATGATTTAAGATAGAATTAGAGAAATTGAAGAGAGAAAAGCAATATTTTGAGTGTATAGGACTAAGAGTATAGAATATAATAAATGTGTTAATATTGTGTATTGGTATTATGATTAGTTGCATTGATATGTTGTATTAGTTGGGTTCACATGGTAGGTAGATTGTCAAATTTGGTTTATGATCTTACAATTATGGTACTGTTTGTTCTGTTAATGAAACCAGATTTAGATATCCCCCAACGCTGATGATCAGGCTAAAATCTCAAAGCATAAAAATAATCGCCAAAGTGTTTAAATTACAATAAGTAAAATACAATATGGTTAAGTTGAAGAAAAATCCAAGTGAAAAATAACAACAGATACTCATAAAATTAAAATTTTTAATGTAAGTTAAACAACTTGTTAAAGAAATCAGAACAAAAAAAGTCATTTAATGGTTTTTTTTTTTTTTTTTTTTTTTTTTTTTTTTAAGACTGAATAATTCCTCATTCTTGAAGAAATTGGTATATGGAAAATATTTCATTATTGGGCAAGTCCAAATTTTCAAATACATGGTAAATACAAATAATAAATAAAAACATAAGCGATTGTTACATCTTTGGAATTTGCATTCTCGTCAATTTTGAAAATGCATACCGTAACTTTTTCTTTAAAAAATGTTCACATTGAAACCATTTTAGAAGTAAACATTGCGAATTCATATGAGCCAATTTCTTGGCAAGTTCCGCAAATCAACTGGCGATGATTCTGATTCCGATAACAAAATAGTACCAGAATTATTGATTGGCTGATTGACTATGGCAAATTTTTTATCAAAATTGATAATGGTAAATATTTTATAGAAGTCGTTCATAGGAAGTCACCTCATGTTCATGTTAGGTATGGAGAATAACTATTTTTATCATGACTGTTAATGAATGAAAAATGGAAATATATTAGATGGATAATTAAGAACATCTCATATCAGTTATGAATTTTCCTCTACTTCAAGTCAAAAGTTCTCTGACATATTTCTAATATAGTGATCTGATTTCATTGCATTAAAAATTAAGGTGTTAGGGGGGGACTTCAAGGTAATCTGAGTAAAATTTCAAACAGTGAATGTTGTTTAATAACTATTTGTTACAAAGCTGCAATAACTTAGCCTGAAAACTTAAAAAGGCTTAATGTTTACAATAGTTTGTGTAATAGATTAAAAAAAATTGTGCATAATTTTATTAACTTTAAAATATTTGCTAACATTGTGGTAATTTTTTATGTTAAAATTACATTTGTAGGTGCAGAGTACATATCTGCTGGTCTAGTAAAAGGTGCTGCCCTAAGTAGTGATCTGATACATAAAGGCGCTTCAAAAGCTCGTCAAAAAATTAATCCTGAAGATAGACCTGTTGCTGTTGATCCTCGTGTTAGAGAGGGTTTGAAAATTGCACGGGAGGCTTCAGGGGTTGTTTTGAAAGCTACAGGTTTTCTTGGTAGGCAATTCTTTATGATTTTTAATTACAAATTTACTTTCTTATTATATTATTGCTAGCTTTGAATTAAAAAAAATAGGCATTGAAATTAGGCATAATCTTATTTTGATAATCCTATTTATCTTTAAAAGTACATTTGGAGCTGTGTATTTCACATTTTTAAACTCTTTATAAAATGTCATCTTTATTACGTTTATTAATTTTCAGAAGGTATACATAATTTAAGAAATATTTTAGCTATTATTATATGGATTTGTGTATCTGGATGATAAGTATCTTAACATCATATTTGCTTGTAAATTTTTTAATTCTTTTAACTTTGTAAGTTGTGTAAGCATTTAAAAGCGTTTTGAAAATAATTTAATTTTTAAATATAATCTTCTGAACTTAAATAATTTCATGTTTTAACATAAGAAATGAACAGATTTATACAAAGAATGATTGATTATAAAATGTTTAGAATTTTAATAAATTAATTTTTTTCTGCTCATCAATTTCAGTTAAGAGGTTGGGTGACCTAACTGTTGCTCTTGGAAAGCAACTTGCACCCCACATTCGTGAACATGGCACTAAAATTCTTACATGCGCTTTTAAAAAGGATCCTGCTGAAGCTAAAGATACAATAGATGGAGTGCTTACAGTTGCAGCTGGAGGTCTACAAGGTAAATTTAATTAATGTGAACCATAGGTATACTACAATAGAATTACAAAAGTCTGCACGCCTTGGGAAAAGGTGCTTAGATCAGATAATTTTGTAGACTATAGGTCTTATTTTATTTCTTATCCTCTTCTAATTTTTATATTATTTGGAATGTTTGTTTGTAAATAGCTTATCAAAATAAACTCTCACCTCAAGAATTATTCAACCCGTTAAGTGCTCGTAGCATGCTTCACCACTTGCTGAAATATACATCAGACATGTGCAATGCCATCATGGGACTAGCTATCGGATTTGAGAAAACCTGTGGGATAATTGCTTTTGCTATAATTTTAGAATTTTAAATTAGCTATTTTCTATTATCACATCACTTTACATTATTTTATATTACTTTTGATTAATGCACGTATTTTATTTGAGTGTGATTAGTGCTATATATATGTGTGTGTATATATACATAATATTGTGTATGCTGTATATTTAAAATATTGTATATGAAAATATATGCTGAGATGATTGGTAAAATCCTGAATTATGTTCAGAATAAATAATCTTACTTGAAGAATCAAGAAAATCAGGAAAAAAAAAAAAAAAAAGTTTGGGCTGCATTAACCCTCTGAGCAGCCATGGTTTTCACTAAGAAAGCACAAATTTCCCAAAACTACTATAAAAACAAATTATTTTTTTGATTTTAATGTAAAAACTCTCCTAGTATTTCATACCGGAATTTGTGTACTTTTGAGATATTGCATTTAATTTCTTTCACACGTTTTTATATGCACATACTTATTCGTTCCTACAGATATCACAAAAAATATTCCAGGCTATACATATACGGCCTTGCCGGTTAGAGGATTAAAAACTTCCAAGATAAGCATAAGTTTCAGGATAAAATATTTATTCCAAGAATCAATAGAGTGCTGCCATCTATAGAATTAAAAAATAATTAAATATGCAAATTCAGTTTGACTACCCACAATAAAGCTGGCAGTATTTATGAAAGCCTAGTTTATCATATACTGTAAAGCTGCGTTCACACCAGAGCGGTTACACGTTAACCAATAATCATAAGCGAGTTCATAGGCAGCATTTGCCCGATGGCCGGAGACCGTGTGAGTTGACTTAACTTTAATTTTTTGACGTCCAGTTTATACCATGGTTTTTAAATGATCGCACTTTCAAAAATTCTTTTTGATGAAAAAAAGTGAAATGGATTAATCTTAATAAAAATTTCAGATAATAATAAAAAATGCATATGCTAATAGAATAAATAGCTTTATAAATTATTTGAAGGAAAATTCTCAAATTTATTAGCAATAATGAACCTTAATAATCAACCATAAATTATATATGGTTGATAATTTTACAGAATAATCTAAAGCAATATATTGTTGTGAGAAAATAGTGATGGATTTCAAAATCCCAAATTTTTAATTTTTAAAAAATATATCTACATCAATTTAAGGTTGCTCTTGTTGCCTAGTGGATAAAATGTTGGCTTCTTATGTTAAAGATTTTGGATTCAAGTGTCACCAAGAGTGGTGTTGTAATGGAGTTGATATTTTTAAAAATATATATACAGAAAATATTATCGCTAGTTTCAGAGTAGCCCAGATGCTTCTTCAGTTTCCTGAAGGTGAAGTGTGAAAAACTATGCTTGCCCACAAGATACCATAGTACGGAGGTAAAACGCTCTAAAAAATTCATCTTTTACTAGGGACTTGTATTGCTTGTTCGGGCTTTGATTTTTCCTACTTTTGATGATGGTACAAATACACCAATTTATTTATTTATTGTTTTTTTTTAATCTACCGCAATTTTTGGGTGGAAGGGGGGAGAACAGAAGAAGCTTAAACTTATTTTTCATTTCATTTCATTCATATAAACTTAATTTTCGCTCGGCATTGTGTGCATTATCCTTCTTTTGACAACGAGCCATTCATAAGAAGATTACTATGATCTGATTCTATTTCGGAGGAGACTAGCAAAAGACATAGTGGTATTAGTATAAAGTTGCTGTTTCATCTAATAAAAAAAATTAGTGAGTTCTGAATTTTAAATGAGTGGCGACGAGTGAACCATTTGTTTAAAAAATGTTATTTATGCAGAAAAGAATCTTGCTAGTACAGTGCAAAGTCTTTAATCCAGACTCGTCGGGACTTTGGCGATTCTGGATTATCAGTTTTCCTGGATTATAGATCATCAATTTAAATCTGGTAAGATGGCATGCAGAAATTATAAAATTAAAAATATGAAACCGTAATATATGAAATAAAGAGCAATTATGATCTATAGGGTATCAAAGTTTACAAAATAAAAAAGCTTAATATTTATTTGTTTATTTTATTAAACATTTCTTTTAATGCGCGCATGCGTAAAGTATACATTATGCATAGTCGAAATTAGAAACTTGCAACCAGAAAGCTATTTGATGTGTATTCGTGATATTTATAATGATGAGGAATTTGATTTAAATCATATCAAAGATGGAATACGTCGAGATGAAATACTACATTTAGTAAGGAATTATAAGCTGAATAAAATAAAAACATCTGCCCTGAAAATAAGGATAGTGCTGACAGATCAACTTCCAGTTCATTGCGTGCCGCGAGTCCCCCCCCCCCTGCAGAGCAGCGTGAAATTGATAAACAGATTTCGGAATGGTTAGAGAAACAAAGGATATGCCTTTATCCATTTTTTGCAGCAATTCCACTTTTTGTTTGATGGACATCGAAGCATGCTTTCGCTTTGTAGATCCTTTGGCAGCTCCAGCATCGGAAATTCTATTTGACGTAATCGAAAGTTCAAGCTTACTTTTATAAAACTGCTCTAACAGTCTGCAAAAAATAATAAACCGCATCCAATTCAAAGATTATTAGAATTCTACTGTAATTGAAAACTGAATTTTTTGAAAAAAAATAACTTGGGTTCAAATTGTAGTTTAAACAACAGGATTACATGCATTTTTTTATTTGAATAATTTTAAGTTCGAAAATTAACTCGGTAATTTCAGTGGAAGGAAAATCAGAAATTTTTGCTAAATTTTAAATATATTAAAAAAGAAATGTGCACAAAACTTATTTAATACCTAATAAGGCTTTATGTTTGTTTCATTTATTTATTTATTTATTATTTTTTTTAATTAGGGTTTTCTACTGTATACAATGGCTTGGAGAATGCTGCTAGAACATTGGCTTACAGCTTAAGTACCGAAACGGTAAAAATCGTGGATCATAAGTAAGTATTTTAGTTATAAAAACTGATTAATCCATACACCGTTTTCTTTCATTTACGTTTTTTTTTTACGTTACAGGTATGGAAGTGAAGCTGGTGAAGTTGTAGGGAATGCTATTTTCTCGATTGGAAATCTGGCATTAACAACACACAATGTTCAATCATTGGGTATTAAATCAGTTGCCAAGCGAACAGCAAAAGATGCAGGGAAAGCTGTTCTGAAAGATTACATTGAACATAAAAAGCCAGTTGGAAAATAGATTTGTATTTCTGGTTGTTGTGTATTAAAATAACGAGGTTCAGTATTTTTTTTTTTTTTTTCCTTCCAGTTTGCATGCATTTTTAAAGTCTAGCAATATATACAGTATTTACAATTATTAGGCTTTTTCTTTTTTAGTTATAATGGTTTTAAGATATTAACTTACTTTTACTTTTGTTGAGTACCATGTCTTTCATTGTTTTTTTAACTTAGATCAAGTTGTATGATTTCAGTAAATAGTTTTAATTTATTTTTATTGGTTGTGGGATATAAAATACTCATAATTTACGACATGCTAGTATATTTTAATACATAATCATCTTATGTGAAATAAATATTTTCATAAAAATCAATTTATGTTTATGCATAAAATAATTTTAGAATAATTCTGCTGAATGTTAATGTTGAAATAAAATACAAAATTTTGTATTTATAATATGTAGCACAAAAGTCTTTTCATTAAAAATTTTATAATATAGCATTTGTTTTTAGCAATTATTATTATTTTATACTGTCTTATTCTCAGAAACAAACTGTGATATGCTCTTGATAAGGGTAAAATATTCCAAATTATTTTTCTATTTATGGATAATTTTGGAAACAGAATGAATGTTTGAATATTGTTAAGTTATATTGTTAGTGCTTCATATATGCAGCTCAAATTTTGTTATACATCAATAAGATGTTTTTTCTTATTCTCTCCAGAATGATTTTTGTTGAATAAAAATCAATTAAGAATTTATAATTATGGAATAATAAAGTTCAATAAAATACACAGCTAATATGTTTTGATTTTTAAATGTATGCAAAGTACAGCCTTGTTCCACTGGTTCTATAATTCATTGCATGGGTGTATTAAATTGCCTCCTTAATTGTATTGCATGCTTTGCAAAACCTATTTACTTGTGAAGTATTGAATGGTTTCAGATATCAACTACCTGTAAATATATGATATTTAGCATTACTTAGTTTTCTTCATTAGTTTCACAACCCTTCAGCTAGAATATTATATATATTCCTTACAAATTTGCTATGAATCCTAATATTTTTATCATTTAATATCAAATTACTTGAAAAGGAAAAGTAAACCTTCTTTTTCACATAATATTTAACAGTTTTGATGCTGTTAGAAAATATTTGCTTTCAAATTCAAAACTGAACATGAATCTTTCTATAGTTTTTTTTTTTTTACTTTAATAGAAAATAGTTAAGCTTAGCAGCAGATAATTTTGCTTGGTAATTTTTCTTTTGTGATTCTGTGTAAAAATATTGTAATGATTTTAGCTGTCTTTTTTTCAATAAATTTATGAATTGGCATACTATTAAAATATATTAATAAGAAATGCTGAAAATTGGTAATGTAATGTGAGATATCCAACCTAATTGTAAAAGGAATCTAACAATATTTGTGCCTGCAGGAACAATTTCACAAAGAAATAAGTATGTGCAATTTATATCACCTGGTATTAGTAATGCAAATTATTAAATATCGCAGAAAATAAAATAAAGAAAAATTGTGCCGCAAATTTTGATGCTAAACATAAAATATACAGGCCATATCCATAAGTCTTCATGCAGCATTTATTTTTATAACATCAGTTATGAAATATGCTTCCAAAGTGTTTTAAATAATGCAAATATTTTAAATTAAAAAACCACTCTTGTAAATGTAAATTTAACTATTTTTAAGTTACCACAGTCCCTATAGTTACATTAAGTAAAAATAAAATTCCAAAAGCTTAACTCCCATGCAACAAAAATTGATGGAGTTATTCTAACAATTTTCATTAAAAATACTTTTTAAGATTTTTCATATATGAGAGTTTGTTATTTTTAAAGTTGACATGAGACATTTTTATAGAAATTTATTTCTAATTGTATTCTTTCTGGAGAGTTAAAGATAGACAGGGTATAAATTAAAGATTCTATTGCAGCTAAAAGGTACCTACTATAGAAGTTACTTTCTAATCACTTGTTTTTAGTAACTAGGTTTACATAAGTTATTTTTTATTTTATATACTATTTGAATGTTTTTATAAAGAGCTTTATTGTGTTAATAATATGCTATCTAGAAATGGCTCAAACTATGAAATATATCTGTAATGATAAGTGGAAATGTTCTATACTTAAATTGTTAATTTATACAAATGAAGTTATTAATTGAAAATACAATGAAATGTGTACATCTGTGGCATTCAAAAAAATGTTCAAAAATGATTTCTGTGTCATCAGAATATTTTATTTCCTTCTGTTTATTTTTGAAATAGTATTAGACATCTATTTTGTTTGTGTGATTTTTTTAATACATGTCAAGAAATGTTGATGTTAATTTTTTTTTTAAATTATCAAATATGTCAAGAAATACTTTTCTTTTGCACATTTATCCCAAGCATACGTTTAATAATCCGAACTACTTAAGCTTCTAGTTTCATCTTAACAGCACAATTTTCTTTTTACATGTAAAGAAATTGTTACATTTTTATACTTGTTTAAATTACACATTGAATTTTTTTATGATTGCCTTACAAGTAAATATAAATTTGCCATGCAGATGATGAATGTTAACTTTATATGCAACTAGAGAATGTAGTGATGCATTTCTCGTGTTACCAGATATAAAATTTTATGCTTTTGTAGAAAAATGGAAGCAGTTTCATGAATAAAGAATATTCTGGTATACCTTTGTTTAAACGTGTAATTTATGAGGTACTCTTTCTTTATTTTAAACAACTAAAATGGTACTGAAGTGATGTGAAAAAGTAGTTTATGAATATTTTTCTTTATCCATGAGTAACACCGATTATGTCAGGCAAGTAAAATTTATTGTTTCTCAGATTATCTGATGGAAGAGAAGAATGTATTTTTATTTTTTTTTTCCTGCTTAGTATATTAAGAAAGCAAAAATAGTGAAATCTATATAAATATTTTATTCCTATATTTTAGAAAGAGAAAACTATTGCAGTAATAAGTTTAATTACTAAAACTTATTACTGCAATAGTTTTCTCTGCAACAACTCATGTTGAAAAATTTATGATTTTACAAATATTCAGTTATAAATGAAAACCTATTTGAATGAATCTTCATTTTCAAATAAAATTTCACAAACACGTGTATTTCTGTAGGCAGTTATTTCAACAATGATTCTTAAGTTAGGAATTTTTTTCTATGATAATGTTAAATTCTTGTAAAATTAAATGTTTATCATAAATAAGAAATTGCATCATTGACAGTTACTTCTGTGTACTAGTTATGAGAAAAATAAAAAGGACAGTAAAATAGTTGATACAGGGTTCGTAGCGGTCCTTACAAGTGCTTACAAGTCCTTATATTTGAAAATAAAATATAAAGGCCCTTATAGGTGCTTACTTTTTCTTTAAGCCCTTATTTGCTTTTTTTTTTAGTGCTTTTTTTGCTTTTAGTGCTTTTTTTTTTTCCTTTGTTTTAATGAACCGCATTTTTCCCCGTACCAAAGCCAAAACTAAATAAACAATTTTCTTTATATGCAACGTCAGATGGGAATCATACTCCCGAAAATTGCTTTCCCCCCTTCCCCTGCATTAACGTAACCTATGGTGCGCGCGAGAGTACAGACAGGTGCACGTTGTTCTATTGGCCAAAGAATTGCGAAAACGTAGAAAATTCCGGTACGTTCGGTATTCTTTTCCTCCCACCCAAATACTACACACGTTTGAACTTCTATCAAGATTTTAATAAATTTGCATTCTCGTTTCGCGTGGTCAGTTCATATTCGTGTTTATTATGATCATTATGCTTATATTATGAGCATGCAGTAACTGCTGAAGTATAGATAAACTTCCAAAAATGGGTGTGTTTTTACACAATTAGCTTTCTAAGAAATAATATTCGGAATGGCCCAATAAAAGGAAAGTAATCGAATAGTAAAATAATTTCATTTTCTTTGCCAATACATTATACAGTACGGAGTTGGGGAGTTTCTCTGCAAAAATCTGTAATATTGAAGCAGCGGATTTTTTTTTGTCACTGTAACTAGTCTGGGTTGAATAGGAGTAAAAGTTCTGCAGTCTACCAACCCAAACGAAGAATGATTCTGTTCCGGAAATTTAACGCAGTCTGTTGAAAATTAGAATCAGAAAATACCCCAGATTGGTAAGTCTTCTTTCTTTTCCTTTTTTTTTTTAGTTCTTTATTCTCCGAATACTCGGTAGCTGTTGATTCCGATTGCGTAATATCACATATGGAAGAATTACGCCGCACGTATTGCGCAATAACGTATTGCACTATCGCAATAACATATTGCGCAATAACTTTTGCGGTATTTTGCGAAGATAATTAATTTTGATGTTCAGTCTGATATTTGTTTATGAACACCTAAAAGAGTTTTACTGTGCTTTCTAAGCAGAATATTTTTCACTTCTGTTGGTCTATTTTTATGTGATGCACATATCGAAAGTCAAAATCATTTATTTAGCCTAAATTTAAATCTAAAGAACAGCTACAATCTCCCCCACTCCTCTTTTTCCAGTTACTATCCGGAATATTTCGGAATTTCGAGTATGCGGGTTAGTTAAGCTTTTACTGTTAAAGGATGATGAATGAAGCAATTCTGTCTTCTGATTTCAGAATGTGCCTCTTTATACTAAATTACTTTGCTTGGGATATATGTAAGGAAAAACTGTTATGCAATGAAAATTTAGAAATGTTCAGAATTTTGATTTAAGTTAAATTATTTAAATATTAATATGAGTGGAAAAATAAATTGTATTTATTATTAGGTGCCAAACGAATACAATTAATATGGCTTATTCTTATTTATTTTCTATATTTTGAACTGAAATATCATCATTAAATTTTGTTATATAGTTTAGTTCTGCACAGTTTTTTCCCTCATTGTAAACTAATTCTGTAAATTGAACTGTCATATAAAATTTAAAAAAAAGTTAATTGTTTTCCATTGTTGAGGTAATGCTCATTCTCTTAATAAATATTGCATTGCTCATATTTTAAATTACAAGTTTAATTTTTTTTTAAGGTTATGCAGTTGTGTATAATGTAATTAGACAGGTGCTTATTTTTTCCTTAAAATGTGCTTGAAAAATGCTTATAGGTGCTTATTTTTTTAACTAAAATGTGGCTATGAACCCTGTGATACATTTTATGAGTTTGAAGAAACAACAGAAATTTATGGAAAGTGTCGTACCATATAATATATTTTATATTTGTCATTTTTAATTTTATGCAAGTCTTTGCAGACTAAAAAGTTATAGGATTTTATTATTAATGATTAAAATTACTTCAATAAATTCTAATTAGCCAAACTGGAATAAGACATACTGGATGCAACACTTACGGCACAGATTTAATTTAAGCTGTCCATTGAAGTAGTATAGGTATGAGAGAAAAATCATACACAAATTACTTCAGGAGATACTGAAATAAGAAGGAAAGAACACAGTAACTAAAAAAATGCATTAGAACAGATAGTTGTTATAGCACAGATGACAAAAGAAGTAGCTCGTAGTAATTAGGGTGATAGCTTGGCATTATGATACATGTTTAGATACCTTAAATAAACTTATTTTAAGTTTTTGCAGTAACATTGCCCATTCCTTTCTCTGTCGCAGCCAAATTCAGTAGCTGGGGGCAGTTACTATGAGCATGAATGTGTCAAAAGACATCTACTTAAACCATTCTAAATTGTTCAGTGAAATTTAGATCAGAGAAATGAGTGAATTAATTGATTCAAATGATGTCTTCACATCTTAAAACAGCACCTCACACAGTAACCGTATAATAGAACATCATGTTATTGCCCACTCAAGTTAAGATTCACACAAGGAGGAATATTTTCATTAGTTATGTATATCAGATGCAGTACTAAACTTCAGTATCTGTAATTCTATAATTCCATCGAGACTTCCAGATGAGAAGACCTTATGTCATATTGATCTTTATACTGTACCCCAGTTTCTTACTATATTAACTGAGTTCTAGCAAGACTCTACTCACATCAATAAAATCCATTTTATTGATGAGATGGCATAAAATGTACTTTTTCCCATCTGGTATGCTTTAGTAATGATATAGGCAAAATACTGCATACTGGTTGCTGATGAAATAGTGCATCTATTTTGTATCTGTCATTCTGATTCAAATCTGTCTGTTCTATCAATTTTATTGATATTTTCAACCTCAGTTACTTCTCCTTTCCTTCTACTGTGTAATTAACCTCACTAGATTTTATTTAAAATTTTCCTCATGACCATTTCATTTGTCTATAATGTAGAATGAAACTTTTTGAATGTCTGTACTATAATCCTGTCATTTGAAAATTTGGAGAGGGTTTCCGAGCTTAATGTTTATCATTCATGTAAGGCTTAATGTTAAGGCACGATTTCGAAATTTGAATATGTACAAACTTTCTGCTAAAATATTCTTATGAAAATCATTATGAACTATTAATTTTTAGGTAATGATCTTTTGAAAATAGCATGTAATCTAAGAAAAACATGAAGAGATCATTTTTATTGCATATTAATTACCTAAATCTGCAAAAGCTTATACTTGGCTTATTTTAACAATTCAGATAACTGATAGTCTATAAAAGATATGCAAGGCAGAACATGCATACTTTATAAATTTATTGTGTTTTAAAACATTTCCAGTTCTAACACTTGATTTTGTGTTTTTCTATTAAATTTACTGAAACTCAAATCCACTGTAATATATTTATCTCTATTTTTTACATTTAATGATTATTTCTGATTTCGGATATGATCATTAAAAATTTTTATGACATAACTTAAATCTTCAGTAAATTAAGGAATTTTTAAAAAACTTATTCTAATGAAAATATCAAAAATATCTACAGAACATTTTAAACACTGATTAATCTGTTAATTTTCTTTTTCAAAAATTTAATCTCAAATAATATGTCTATCTAAAATTTCTTTCCTTCCTAATTTTACATTTCTATGCCCAAATCTTGAATGTTGTTCATGTAATAATGAAGAAAGCTCACATCAGAACTCTTGTTGTGAGAAATAAACCTTAAATTAAAATCTTTGGCAATCAAATAAAAAATCTCTATTAAATTCTTTGAAAGGATTGATTATACTTCATTTATGAATCCCACATAGTTAATCTTAAGTATATGTATGAATATCAGCTCTTGCTACTTGACCAGAGATGACAGGCACATCTCTGGTCAAGTAGCGAGAGCACATTATTAGGTAATTTCTATCTCTTGTGATGCTGAGCTGCATGGGTGTTTTCATGATTTGTTCCAAGTGCATATTACGGATATTAGGAATTTTTATGCAGTCTTGTAAAGAATTCAAAATGTTGACTCGTTAGGTAAACATGGTTGAATTTGTCAACAGTAGTGTTGAATTTTCTTTTCATCACCCCTTTAGTTATAATAAATATGCTGAAGAGGAGGTTCACAGCAGTGCTGTACAGCAAACGACCATTCGATTTTTGACTAACCAAGGTTAATCTTAGATTTATATGATACCTAAAATTCAAAAGTCCAAAGACTGTGCCAACAAACTTTCATATTTTTGGTCCACTTAACAACTTTTAAGAAGGAAGAAATTTCAAGTGTAACCAACAAATGATTGACACTAATGCAAGAATGGTCAACATGCAGTCACAAGACTTTTACTTTTTTGGAATTAAGAAACTTCCTGGACACTAGAATAGTTGTATTGCAGTGGTAGATGGCTACACAGAAAAACAGTGAGAAAATTGTGTCATTGTGTTCAATAATTACAGTTTCAGCTGATTAATTCCTGTTTATATATAAAATTCCTTTGTATATATCATATAAGAGGCAGCCCACCCAGGAAAGTTCTGTGTGAAAGCATTACAAAAATTGGTTAACATTTTTGCCTTTTATATGACAGAATGAAAGTGTCAACGAAACACAAACCGTTGGTCTGCAAAAATACAAACCCACATGGTGGAGTCATTTTTAACATTCTTGAGTCGAAACTGCCCTCTGAAGATGCTATTGCAAGAAAGTGGCATTCATAGTATGGTTTCTTCTCGCCGTTAGTGTTAGATACCAATCCTCATTTTGTGTTGTTGCAGGCACATGATCTTGTCCCGACCTTAGGTGAACATTTCCAATTTATAGAAAACTGTTCCATAGTCTGGAAATGACACTTTGAGAAACTCCTAATGCTTTCATTATAACAGATATGTTTGACCCGCCTCTAAATGGGCAGTGGCTGTCCAGGCTACCAATTTGGCTAAGAAATTTTGTTGAGTCATCATATCCACTGTTACAAAACATTCAACTTGTGTCAATTGTTTTTAATCTCCTTCTACAGAAAGAATGCTGCAAGTTGGTTTTCACTCCTTATCTAAAACATTATTTTTCTAAATCTCTTCTATTTCATTTTTATTAAAAAAGTTGTTGATTATATGGTTATTTCATGCCAAACTCACAGTATCCCCTAATTGTTTTCAGTAGTATACTAATACAACTCTAAGAAAATGCTTTTATTCAGCTAACAATTTAAATAAAACTGGTCATTGTACAACAAATGATTAAAATATTAGAAAAGTACTAAAAATATTTCAATCTTTACATAATGAATCACATATTGTATAATTGTACATAAAACAGTAACAGTAGAATAAATAGATAACTGGAATTACATAATATAATAGAATCTATTATAGGTACGAGCAAAATGGAAATTCTCGCATTTTAACGGTGACCCATTATCATGAAGTAGTCTGTATGCAGTTTGAATATTATGTCTTTGGGAGATTTATCTTTCCCTATGATTTCAGAAAGCCTAAAATAAGATGAAAAAATTAACAAATGTCAAGAAATTTTTTAAACAGGAAATATATAAACTAAATACAGGACTGTAGAAGAATAAATATTTTCTTTTTGAAAATAAACGAAAAAATTACTTTCACAAGTATGAAAAATAGAGAAACTTCCTTACGAAAGCTGGTTTCGTACCCCCAGACATACCTTTGCATAATGCTATGGTTTAAAAAAAAGAAGTATATTATCATTATCATTTAATGTCCTAAAATTTTAAATATCTGATGGTGCAAAACCAGTTATGTTTAAAGCACTATAATTTTAAAAATGAGGCAAAGGAAAATAAATAACTGTGATAAGCTATATGCACAAAGCAAAAATTATGCTGTGCTGGTGAGTATATGATGGGTACACATAGCAGCATGCTTATTAGAAAATGTGTTACACTGAATGGATTGGATGATGCAGGACAGTGAAATGGTTGAGTTTCTTCCTTGATCTGACACCAGCGGGCTTCATTCTTCATGACTGATTTGCAGCTGTGCTTTAAAGTCTGTACCTGGGATATTTTTAAATTCAGTATTTGAAGCAATCATAAAAAAAATTCAAGTTGGCTGGTTAGATTATTTACATTATAACAAAGCACTTGAAGGTTACCTGTTTAAAGGGCCTTTGTGGACGATGTTTTATGGAAACTGATTTGTAGTTATGTAACACATAAGAAAAACTGACATTCAGCCAGTCTATTCACCAGGGCTTGTACCAGAAACTCAAGTTGAAATGTGCACTAATGCATGCAAATGTTACATATTATCTCAATTAATGCCTTGATATTGAAGGTGGAATGGTTGATTGGAAACATGTAAACCTACTTTTGTCATATATTCTTAAAGTCGTATATTTTTTATATTTTAACTTTTGTTGCAATTTTCACCTACATTTTGAGTTATATCACTTCACGTATGGTATAACTACTTTTCTGCCACCTTATATAATAATTTAATGCAGTGCTTTTCAAACATATTAGCATTGAGATTCATATGCAAATGGTTATTTTCTTAAAAAGGGGAGAGAGAAGGAATTTAGAGAGGGGATACTACTCTACTTTATTGTGAATTATTTTTGACCAACAAAACTGTTGCTAAACAGCACCATTTAGCTGCAATAATGGATATGCATAATATTACAGTGCACTCATCATACTGTGTTGTGACATCATGCGTAACATAATTTTCAAGGATTAATTAGGGTTGCAAAAAACAGAGATCTCCACTTGGTTTATGTAATCTCGATTAAACTTTGATAAGCCAGTTTACTTTTTGTAAAGAAGGATAAAAAATTAAATTCTATTTCTCTGTTTTTTTCCTTGCATTTAAAAGAATATTACAATTTGGGTCTAGCCTTCTATGTAACAGCATGCAATCAAAGCTTGTATTTATTCAAGTTTTTTGCATGCTATATTCATAACCGTATATGGTGATTATTTAGCTAAATACATAGAAATTTGTTTTTTCAAACTGCTAGGAATGATTGGTGCGAGTTTGAAAAGATCTTTGCCAGCTTTTGTAGTCAATGGGAAAGTATGCAAGACCTGAAAAAAAAAAAAAGTTATGATATAACAATATATAAATATACAAGGTAGCACAGAATGGATGGAGCAATCCAATAATAGCTGTGTTATATCATCTGTATACTAATATGAATTTGCAGAATGCCTGTGTTTGTATATCCATATACTGCAATACTCTCAAGTTATGTAATAGGTGGGACCAACAAAAAGCTTATAAGTTAGGGTCTATTTTTGCCTGTAGTTGAATTATAATTTGATATGCTAAGAGCTAAAAAATACTTATTGCTTACTTACTCATAAAATACTTTGAAAAAGTTCATAACAAAAATGTAATTTTCATATTTCTTCAATGGTTTAGCAACTTATAATGGGTCTTGGCCTTCTTTAGAATTTCATTCCAGACTGTTCTACACTTGGCCTTCAGTCTTCAAATTAATATCAGTGAAAATATTGTTAAAATAAATGTGCTGCATAAAATGGAATTATCTTGAAGCTGAAAGCTGCATTAAATTAATTTAACAAATTCCTCGGATGACTCAGTTCATAATTAAAAAGCAGAAGAAAGATTATTAAACACCATTCTTTATTTTTATGTAATAAAGAATAGCATAGTGACTATATAAATGTAGATATCTGCATTGTCCATGATTCAATTATAATTTAATAGCAGTTTTTGAAGAAGGAGTTGAAATTTTAGAGCATTTAACAAAAATTACTATGTTTTGATTTACATTAGCTCTTTAAAGCTAATCATGGAGTCAGAGTAATGTTTGTTGATCAATGCTTAACTGAATCACTGACAATTTCAAATGCAAATTAATTAGAAGCATAAATGTGTTAAAGAAAAGAAAGAACTATGTAACTTTTTGTTTGAATATATCGGGGTATTCACACTATGGTTTATGTGAGCTAATGGAGTCAGTCCCATATATCAACTAGCTCCGCCATATGTGTAGTTAAGATTTTTCAATTCGCTCCACTATGAGGAAAATCTAGTTTTGGAGCTATGCTAGCTGTGCCAGATGTCTCCATTACCTCAGATAAACAAGAGTAAATGACCCTTTATAATGCACATAGAATTTAAAGTTGAAGAAAGACTAGTAAATTCAAGTATACTGGGGACTCTCAGGATGGACTGGAGCATATCATAAGTCATAGGATAAAAAGGTGGTAATAAAAGATCAGAAATAATACTGTAAATCTGAAATAAAAAGAAATTGCAAGCTAAATGACTTAAAACAAAGTGAAGTGATAGGATGCCATCATTGTGAATCCTATTGAATACATCTAGAAGGAAATAAAATTTTGGCTGTTAGCTGGATAACCCACACTGATATCAGAAATTATTAATTCTCATTTGCATTAATTGCTTGTTATTCCTTCTGAAATACTGAAAATTGATAGACAGTCTTTCTAATAGAGTGCAATTGATGATCACAGTAAATAATGAACCCATTTGATATTGATGTTTGTTACAAGAGCTAGTGAGCTGCAAAATCCAGGTGTCCAACATAGTATATCTATTACAATAATAAGAAACCATGTTTTGGAAGCAATACTTCCAAATTATCACTTCATCATAAACATATCTGTAGTTAACTTAAAAATGAGCCTATTGAAGGAATGAGTAATGGGCTGTGGCTGTCAGACATTTGGGAATCTCTAATGGTCATTTGCATTAGAAGCCAACAGTTTCACATGCTAACGACTTACAGAACCCATATTATGCATCAAGATATGAGAAGCAATTAATATTTACTTGTATCTTTATTTCTCTCATGCTCTTGCACTTAGAAATTTCAATATTATTGTAATTGTACAGATTTTACCCTTTGAATCAAATAAAGAATATGATATCTAAACTGAATGCTATATGGCCACATACTTTTCATTTAATTCTGTATGCTTTTTGAGCAGGTTCTTTATTCTGTTTAGAATGCTCTTTAAAATTTTTAGATTGTGTTACTGTTTTTTTCATCTACGTTTCAGACTTTTATCATTTATATGCTACAGTTATAACTCTTATTAGCTGTCACATACTTGACTTTGCTGGCAAATATATGCACTGATCATGATCATGTACTAGATGTCACAAAGAGGAATAAAGTAATGCATGACTAGTGTTTAAATACTAAACAGTAATTTCTGCAGCTATTTTATAATCCTTGAAAAGTTGAATACACATATTATTTTGTATATGTGATCACTGTTCAATAAACTACTGAACCTTAGCTGTGTGGCTACAAATGTTTAGAATGATTGTTTTTACCAGCATATATTTCTTTGACATGAAAAAACAGAAAACACAGAATATGACTAATAAATATTTGAAATCAAGATGATTAAAACACAAATACAATTTTTTTACAGGAAATGATCTTTTGATAAAATTTTTTGCTTAAACTTTTTATGTACTCTACAGAAATTAAAAAATACTTACTCATTTTGTATATAACTTAACAGGTTACTAGCCTCTTTTTTGTCCTTTCTATACAACTTTTGATATGCACTCCATGTACTCAGATAACCGATGTAATCTGCCAGTGAGCATTCAGTTTCTTTCACCAGACTAGTTCTATTTAAATTAAGCAAAATGAATATTTTTGTCTTATATGCAAGAATATATCAAATAAGTTTTTGTCATTATTTGGATGGATGTAAATATGTCTATTCTTATTCAAAAACTTGCCTGTGAACATCTTTGAAAGGAAGATGGATATCAGAATAATGATTCTGGACAATATACCTTTCCTTGTCCCAATATTGTCCTAATTTTTCCTCATGTAAATACTAAAAAGGAATGTATACAAATTAACTTGGAAACTATTTAAAATTTCATTTCTTTTAAATTCTTATTGGAGATTATTTGGTCAAATGCTTATATTTTAATGGTTTGAGAACAATAAGGAATAAAGCTGAAATTATTTTTAATAATACTTTTAGGGTATAATACCATTAGAACCCTGAATAAATATATAGTAGAATTACAGTAAATGTAATCTCAATGGCAATATAAAATACCTTTTCACAATGAGAATTGATGACACTACATTCCCTTGCCAGTACATATAAGCATATTGTAATAGTGTAAAATATAAGGTTCACTATTTAGAAAATAATCAATGAAATTTCACATGACCTTGTATAGAAATTCTGTTTACAAGCCAAGATAAGAGCTCTCATTAAAAACTGCTTAATCTGTATTTTTATTCCGAATTTGCTATTAATTGTTTCAAATAAGATTACTGCCAATGATTAAAAAAAGCATGTATTTTAGCAGGATATGATATGAATACTTCTTCTATGAGAAGACAATTTTATGATGACATTTCAAAATGAAATTTGAAGGGTCTATTTTACCTTTTTCAAAGTAACAACTTTAAATATTCAGATTTTGGATTAAAGTATTGCCTTGATTTGCAAGTGTAATTTCTTCCAGAAGCATATTTAAAGCAAAATGAATTTTCCCATAAAAATAATGGAAATTCCTACAATTTATTCTACAGCCCAAGAATATTCATATAAAAATTATTTATGCAAACTATAAAGCAAAATATATGAAACAAATTAATCTGTAGCTTATTTCCAAAAAAATCATTACTATATGATGGTTCACTGAAGTTTTTTTCTTTGTGCATTTTTAACAATAAATCTTTCAAATGGCAGTTGTTTTTGTCTCCTTTTCAGCATTTTTGAGAAGTGTGATACTGCACTTTTATTAAACAGATTCATGACTAGCATGGCTACACGCTTATTTGGGTCATTCTTTTTTTTATAATATATCCACATTAGATACATTTCTGTAAACTTATTTGAATTGAAAGATTTCTCCGTCTTTTGAACCTTCTTCTCAGATGAGATTTCTTGCTGTTGCTCATAAGGTAGGTCCATTAATTTGTCAGTAATCAGCTCCTGGGCATGTTCCTCCCTCAAAAAAGACTTCATTCTTCTCTTAAAGCCTTTATTGGACTCATAAATGTCTTCTTCATTCAATTCCAATCTCATGGTATTTCAAAAGACACAGTTTCACTGACAAATGGCAGCGTCTCTTCATAAGCAAACACCTTGGTTTGCAAACCAAGGTCTCAAAGTTATGTTCAAGAACACAATTTTCTGTAAAAAGAATAGTGGGTTTTCTTGGTAATTCCATTTCATGCTTTACTGATGATACTGAGGCTCTTCAAGATATGGAAGTGATGTTTCCAAAATGCCTGGAGGATAAAATTCATTCATTTGGCCAGCTTGAAGCATCATTGAAATTTTGGCTTAGTCTAAAGCTTTTTTACATTTGAAAAGACCTGCTGATCCATTGGTTGGAGCAGTAGAGTGGTGCTGAGAGGAAGAAACTTTATTTTAATGAACTCAAATTCCTTCAGCAAGTTTTCCTGAAGGCATGAAGGATGAGCAGAAACATTATCCATGAATAACGTGATTCTGAGTGGAAGATTCTATTTCTTCACTGCAGGACTTCACTTCATTGACCTGTGCAATGAACAAGATGAGTGACCCAAGCTTTGTTATTAGAACTTCCCATAATGTTTAACTAGCTCTTCTGCAGTTTGCATTTCTTGGAGACTTCATGGATTTTCAGAATGATGCTGCTTAAAATTTTTAATTTGATTTGAAATTTTAATTTACTTAATTTGAAATCTTTATTTGCACACAGAAAGAGGGTGAGATAATTTTTCATGGGTGTATGATCATTTACTATAGCAATAACGCAATAGTGTAAACATGGTTACAGTGATGAGTAGATAGTCACCATATAAGTGAAGCACACTGACTGAGACTGAGCATGGGAGATAATTACTCATAATCCCACAGCAAAAATCTGCTCAGCTGCAATCATGTGATGCTCAGTTGGCAAAGGGGATATTTATTATTCATAATGAAAGACATTACTTGTTTATGAAGATAAAATTTACTAAAAATTTTTGCCAGTCTTGAACTTTGGTAAATCAAGTTACCTGCAATTCAATGTTTTACTGCATATTCTGGCTAAACACATCATATGGATAACTTCCAATATAGAGGACTGCCTTTGTGAAATACTTCTAAGGAAAACTGAACCATATTTAAATTAAATATGAGAAAGGCATGAAAGCCACATGCAGCCAGCTTATTCCATCATTTTGAATTGAAAACCAGGACATATTTTGCAGTTAAAGGCCAGTGGTTTGCCTGAATGACATATAATCTGTTTTGTAAGCTATTATTCTTTTCATATTAAATTAAAGAAAATGTTCAGAAAAAAGTTTTTTCTGCAAAACCTTTTGCAGAAAAAAAGTATGAGTTTTTAAACAGCAATACTTTTGACATTACTAACCAATATTTGTTTGCTGTAAATAATTATCACACACTCTTAAATGTAGCAATAAAATATTTCATTTACACAGTTTATTAATAAATAATAGTCTTTAAGGCCAGATCAATGAATTTCTGGAAAGAAATTAAGATTTTAAATGAAATATTCGAAAATCAAATTTATATTATATATATGATGCTAAAAACTGTAATACAAATACTAATTTAGCAGCATTTTAAATATGTTTTACTACAAGTTAAAAGTAAAAATAAAAATAAAAAGAGAGAAACAGAGAAGGTGGGAAAAATTTTATCAAAATTAATATGAATTAATCACATTACTTGCTTTATTAATTCACTAATTTTTTTGTCCTCCTCCTCTTTTCCAAGTACAGGTAGTGGAATCCAGTACCCATAAGCAGAAATAACTCCATTTGGTATTAGGACTCTTTCCACTTCTTTAAATAGTATATCTGTTTCAAACCAATGTACTGCCTGACACAGAGTTACTAAATTTACTGAACATGGAGAAAATGGTAATCTTTCTCCATTGGCTACTCTAAAAAGAAGAACATTCTATAATATATAACCTGGTAATAAAATTTGATAAATTATTATCATTAAAACGAGGTAATGCATCATTTGTTGAAATAATAAAATGTAATAGTACTTAAAAATTACTAAGTGAAGACTTTTTTAAGTTTAATTTTAAAATAACTGCTTATAAAGAAAACAATTCATGCATTACTTAGTCAGTAACAGAACTGCTTCTCTCTTAAAGAAACTGACAGTAAAAAAAAAAAAAAAAAAAAAAAAAAAAAAAATTTAAAATATCTGGTTTGCAAGGAAGAAAAAACTGTTCTATAAATATACAAATGTGTTTATAATAATAATTTGGATAATTTTGCCATAACCAAGAAAAATAAAAGAAAGACACAAAATCATAAAAATATTTCTAAGTTCAGTCACATTTATTAGTGCAACAAATGACATATCACCAATTTTAGTACAATTTCTTTATTTTCACAATTTCAGTATGAGATGTCAAACTGTTATTATATACAGAATTCATAATTAATTAAATTTTTGAATAATCTAATGTTTTCTTGATTTCTTCAGTGTTGGCTTATGAAAGTTTGACTGTATTATATCACTTAATCCTCTGAATGGCATGAGTTTTTGGATCTGCTCATGAAGATCTATATTTAAACAGCTTATAGATATTAGGTTATTTTGATGCTGAGAGAGAGGAAAAATGAACAATGCTCTCGCCAGGATTCGAACCACAGGCCTCTCAAATATGCACTGAGTGTGCTGACCACTACACTATGAAGGCATGTCAAAAAGGCGGGAAAAATACCTTATATACTCCCCTTTTTAAAGGGTGACTGGGGATTAAGGGACCCAATCGCCAAATCCTTGTGGTGGAGAATCATCATCCATCACTTTTTTAGTTTGGGCGCCACAGTAGAGACAGCAGGTATTTTTTTGAAAGCAAAAGAGATGAAAAATGAGCAATGCCTTCATCGAGATTCGAACCACGGACCTCTCAAATACATGTCAAGCGTGCTGACCACTACACCACGAAGGCGGGAGAAATACCTTATAAGCTTCTATTAGCTAAATTTTTATAATTACTTATTTTATCTCTGTCTTCATAAACTTCATTCATTACGATGTTATTTACATTATTAATCCTCTGAGTGGCAAGAGGTTTTGGATTTATTCTGAAACCCAGATTTAAGCAGCATTTATTACCTAAATTTGAATATTTACTTACTTTGTTCCTCCATCAACTTACACTAAGTAAGATGACATTTACATTATTAATGAAAGTGAGAGAGCAAAATAGTTTAAATTATAAGCTAATATATACCAAATGACAAAAAATCTCATAATCAGATATATTCGGTCATGGTGCTAAGAGGGTTAAAGAAAGTAAGAAAGCACACTATTTTAAACTGTAATCTAATAGATATTGTAAGCATGATTGTAAATTATTTATTTTTATTTGACGAAATATCTACAGAGAAATGGCAACAGCTAATTCTGGATGCCATTCTATTTACATTCAGAAAGATGTATAATCAATATATATATATGTACAATGCAGTAAAAATGTTATGATGCATATGTTTACGAATAAGTTACGTGTAGACCTATTAAGTTACAAGTACAATTTATCTTTTAATAAGTGTTTGTCTTCTAAAAACGTCTTATTAGTGATGAATTTAAATACAGAAGAATCTAACAAAATCAACTGACAAAAAACTCACATGACCAGATGAAGGTGATCATGCCATTTAAGAGGTTAATAAAATTTTAGTCTTATTTAATGGTGTGTGGGGGGGAAAGAAGGGCATTGGGTAAATAAGGGACTGGGAAAGAAAAAAGAAAGGAAGAACTCTAAAATTTCACCAAATAACACTACTAATTGGAGATAAACAGACAAATTCTTATTCAGCCAGTCAATTATTAACAATTATTAGCCAAATTTATTAAAAAATACATCAACATTCGTATATAATTAAAAGTCAGACAAAGAGTTTCACTGGTTCAGCATGAGATACTTGAAATTTGAAACAGGTGATTGATGATATATTATGGCAAAGCAACTTAAGTATTATCTACTAAAGAGTTTCAAGGAGAAATTGTTTTTTTTTTTATCACTGAATTGTCTTTTATCATTCACTAGTTTTTGTATCAAATTTGATAAACACAGCTTAATTCAATTATAAGCATTGGATCTACACAGCTCATCTCATGTGCTATACACTAGACTTCAATCAATGAAAGAAACACCAACATGAAAAATACACAGAGATATAATTCAACATGCTAGATAAGAAAACTACAGAGGAGGAAAATCCTAATTACAATAGAGTTCTAAAGGGCTTTTAGAAATAATTTAAAGATTCTATAACCACATAATTTAACTCATAAACATTAAACACTTTTGTTGAAAGTTTAGAGCAAAGTGAAAATATCAGCATACTTGTATTCAATATTTGAAGAAAAATTGATTGCTTTAGCACATTCTATTTGAGCTTCACTTACATCTAAGCCTACAACATTTTCAAAATGTTTAGCAAGCACAACTGTACTTTGTCCACTGCCACATCCAATATCAACTGCTTTCTTCAGTGGTGCATTAGTCTAGGGGAAAAAAAAAAAAAAAAGAAAAGAAAAGAAAAAAGAAACATTCAGTAATATATTCTTAATTGTAAATCCTAGTAGATATAAGGATGAAACTAATATTTATTAAATAAAACCTATAAAATTCACATTACATCCTCCCTTCCCCAAAAAAGAGCTGATTGTTATAGCCATCAAATCAAGGCTGCTAAGATTATGATTATATATACTGTGCAGCCTTGGTTTATGAATTTAATTCATCACTTGAAATGTTCATAAACTGATTTCCCCCATAGGAATTAATGCAAAATGGATTAATCTGTTCCTGAATTATAGGTGATTGCTTAGTTAAAATTTAAAACAGTACTTTGCACACAGGTTCACACAACAAACCAATCAAAATCACCAATACATAAAAAATATTAAATGTATAAAATAGATGAAAACTTAATTTTATCATACCTATTTAAAAGTTTATAGATGACATAATTGAAATGTGATGACGAAAGAAGAGGAAACATCAGGTAACTATATTTCTAAGGCACCATTTATCTTCTTTTTAATCTCTTAGCAACACTTGACTGTGCTTGAGAGCCTCCATTTCATTCAATACTATTTATCAAATGTGATTTGTATATGCTTTCATAGGTTTCTAAAGTAAAGCAAGGCACTCTCACTGAAAATGCTTATATGGCAGCTTGCTACTGCTTTATCAGTGCGATATCATTACATGAAACTTTGCACCTAATCCCATTTTTCATAAATTTCATAGGTCAAAGAACTAAGTATATCTTGTCTTTCTTCCTCTTCTGAAGGCATGTTTTTTTCAAATTCACTCTTGTTACTTCTGAAGCTGATGTAATTCTTTCATGTTGATTTCAATTTTATGATCCTCTAATAATTTATCCACATCTTTATTATTGTTAACTTCCTAGGCCACAGTTTCCCTTAGAGACACAATATCATAAGTAACAAAAAATTCCTACATGTCAAATCTTCAGACAAATTCTTCCAAGCCAAATTCATGATTTTGTAAGTTTTTTGATGCCAAAGTCTGGTAGTTAAGAGGATTTACATATTACCCTTTTGACAGTGACAGTTCCTGTAGCATTCTGAAGTAACCTGTGCTTTCTTATTTAGTAACCTATCAGCATATGACAGGCTTCATTTTGTTCTTCAGAAAGAAGTTTTGTTGATTTGTACTATTTTGTTAGGCTCTTCAATTTTACCTGAAGCTCTGTTTAGAATGCTAAGAGCAAAAATACTTCCTGCAAGTAATTGTTCCAATCTATCACTGTTTTGTCAATTATATTCAGCTGAACATATCGTGTTCATTAATACAAAAGGGTTTAGAACACAGTTTTAGAATGACTTCAATAAAGAATAAAAAAAGAAAATGATTTGGAATAATAATTTCTGGCAACAGTTTGTTATTTGAAATGAAAAACATTATCTTTTACTTTTAAATTTATTTTTCATTCCAAATGTTGCATGTAAACAAGTTGTGGATTGATAGATATGTTTTTATGCTTTCCGAAGAGCAAAATTCCTATTCCATAATTCAAAACATTGCAAAATGCACAATATTAAAATTTCTCAAGTTCAAAATAAGCACGATTATTAATTGGAAAAGTTAATAATTACTTCTATATGGAATGAAGACTCCAAACAAATACTTGAATAGCTATGTATGTTTCTAAAGATAAATCGTTGGTAACAAGAGAAAATACACTGATGGAGGAATCTATTGCAAAATCCTTAAATACATCTGTAGGTAAATAAATAAAATAATAAATCAAAATTCATTGCTTCCTTTACACTTGTGGGTTCTTACAGATTTTGATGGCAGGTTGTTCTTTACAAACAGCTTTACATAACACTGGATCCCCATATTAAGTCTTAGGTCTCCTTTCTCTAGTGCCTTTTTCTGTTTCCAATAGGGTTTTCCTTACTACTATCAGAATCTCCCAGTAATGCTGATTCTGTGTCTTCAATTTCTTCTGCTGTGTCATTTAATGGGGCTTCAATATCTTCGACTCCTGTGGTGGTGCAATTTATGGGTATTCTAATGGAACAACATTTACTTCACTGTCAGAATTGTACTTATGATTTAAGTTAAAGGTAACTTCATTTTTCTTCTTTGCTTGAGTAGCTGTCTGGCTTCTCCTCAATGGAAAGACAGTCTCATTAAATTTAACATTTTTGCTCACTAAAAACTTATCTTCCTCTGCATTCCAAAGTTTGTATCCTTTCACACCTTCAGGATATATCCTATAAAGACAAATTCTTGAGCATGCTTCCCTAGCTTTCCTTTCTGCAGCATTTTATCAATTTGAGCAAAAACTCGACAGCCAAATATTCTCCAGGTGACTAATTTGCACAGGCTTCTTGGTCAGAGTTCTTCAAATGTTTCCTTTGGTAGCTTTTGATGGACACTTGTAGCGCAAGTAACAGGCAGCAGTCACAGCATCTGCCCACAATTCTTGTGGGATGTTGGAATCTAGGAGAAGACATTTAGTCATATCAAATAGAGTATGGTTCATTTTTTCTGCAACTCCATTTTGTTGTGGTGTCCAGCGAACTGTGAGCTATCTTGTTATTCCATTTTTAGTTAGGAAATCATCAAATTCATTGTTGACATATTCCCCTCCATTGTCACTTTGAAGAGTAATGATTTTGAGTCCATGGAAATTTTCAACACTTGTTTTATATTCGATGAATTTTTCAAGGACTTGATCTTTAGATTTCATAGTTTTAACCACAGCATACCTTGAATAATCATGAATAAAGGTAATGACAAACTTTGATTCACCTTTTGATGTCGGTGTGATGGGTCCAATTATGCCAGTATGTATCAACTGAATTAATCTAGTTGAATGTTCGGGGAACTATGGGAACTCTTTTCCTTGGGAAATAGAATCTTCTCCATTTTCCCCAAATCACATGTTGAGCAAACAGTCACATTTTCTTGGATTTCTTCATACATTATATTCGAATCATCTCTTTTTGATAAGTTTCTTAACTCCATCATGGGGGAAATGTCCTAATCTTTGATGCATAATTTCTTCATGTCTGGAAAGGTATATTTTGTGCATTTTGCTTCTCTTCAATTTTGTATAATCTTCCATACTATGTGCAGTGCGGATTGTCTTGGATCTTTTATGATTGCTTTGCCCCTCTCAAAGGAAACAGCCATTCCCTTTTCTTCCTACTGAAAGAAGGTTACCATCTAGCTTAGGGACATACAGAACATTTGCTAGTTGAATAGCATCTTTCCCACATTCTCTGACTGGATTCAAAACAATGTCTCCTGTGACAGAAACTTCAATTTTTTCAGAATTGGCTATTTCAACTTGTGATTTTCCTTTAGCTAAATTCATAAATTTCTGCTCTTCAGAACACATATGTTCAGTGGCTCTGTTTCGCTGCATCCTTGGAGAGTGAGCTTAACGCATTAGCCGCTGGTGTTGCATTGACACAACCATCAAAATAAATGCGTATATAAATATAACTACCTAAGATATTTTATACCAGCAGATGATTTTGTGTAGGGAATATCATGAAGATTATTTCTGTAAAAAAAATATTTGCCTTCAACAATTATTTTGTTTATAATAATTAATCTCATTCATTAAGCAAAATGTAAGCAAAATTTTTGACTGGGTATTTCTGCTGAAAATATTTAATGAAAGAATCGCCGTCTTTATGAATGATGTATTTTTAGTCATTTATCAGAACCATTTATCAGAACATTACATCAATCAGATGTTTATATTTATGTTGGGAAGGAAGGGAAAACCGGTGTTGCGCTAATGCAACGTCAGCAGGAAACGGGTAATCAATCTCCTTTTTCACTTATTCCTTTTGATGTTCTGGTTCATGTTCTGGCTGCTTTAAAAATGCCTAGAATGAGGTATCTTACATTAGAAGAAGGCCTTCAAAGATTCTTTAATGAAGAAACAGATGATGATAATGTTAATAATGACCAGAATGAAACTGATATATTGTTGTTGTTTCCCCAGAAATTGCAGAAGCTAGTGATGAAGAAGAAGAGAATGACAATGTTTAAAATAATGATAATGATACTGCTGGCGAAGTTGAAATTCACACAAGAAGTAAGTTTCAGCCTTCTAAAAGCAGTTGTAGTCATACTAAAAGGTTTAAAAAGCAGAAGAATAAAAACTTGAAGTGGAGGAAGTCTCAGGAAGAACATCAGGAAAGAGATAGAAGAAAAATTGGTTTAGACATTTACTCTCTTCTCGTTGAACAGACAAATATATATGCTCAGCAAAGCATATATGAGAAGATTTATTGGAATATTATTGCTTACGGGATATCATTCTTTGCCTCAAGAAAAAATGTATTGGTCTTTTGATAAGGACATTTCTGTTCCTGTTGTATGACAATCGATATCACGTTTGCAGTACAGGAATATGAAGCAGAATTTGCATTTGACAATACTGATAAATTATATGAGGTGAAATTATCTAACCTTACTAAATATCACCACTTTTTACTACTGGAAATATAAAGCCTCTTTTGGATTTCAGACACGAGATTGTATTATTCCTTTTGCAAACACCTATTAAGAGTGTAGAATTAGCCAGAAATAGATCAGCATCAGGAAGACCTAGGAAATTCAGCATTCAAAAACCATTGCAGGGAGCTGGTAGACATTTTATCGTAAAGTCCATTGATAACAAAAGAATTTGTTGTAAAGAGTGCAATAGCCAGACTGTTTATAGATGCAAAGTATGTAATGTAGCTTTACATCATGATTGTAATGAAGCTTTTCATGCTTGAATCTTTCAATTGAAATAATCTGTATTTCTAAAAGAAATAATATATATATTTTAATATTAAATTAATTACAAGTAAAGTGATTTGTAGATTTATAAAACATGATACAGTCAAAAGTCTTTAATCCGGACTCGTCGGGACTTCGGCGATTCTGGATTATCGATTTTCCCGGATTATAGATCATGAGTTTAAATCTGGTAAGATGGCATGCAGAAATTATAAAATTAAAAATATGAAACTGTAATTTATAAAATAATGAGCAATTATGATCTAAAGGGTGGCAAAATTTACAAAAAAAGAAGCTTAATGTCTATTTTTTTACTTTATTAAACATTTCTTTCAACGTGCGCATGCGTAAAGCATACATTACGCATAGCCAAAATTAGAAAATTGCAACCAGAAAACTATTTGATTTGTATTCGTGATATTTATAATGACAAGGAATTTGATTTAAATCATATCAAAGACGGAGTACATCGAGATGAAATACTACATTTAGTAAAGAATTATAAGCCGAATAAAATAAAAACATTTGCCCTGAAGATAACGATAGTGCTGACAGATCAACTTCCAGTTCATTGCACGCCACGACGTCCCCCCCCCCCCCCGCGCAGAGCAGCGTGAAATTGATAAACAGATTTCGGAACGGTTAGATAAACAAAGGATATGCCTTTATCCATTTTTTGTAGCAATTCCACTTTTTGTTTGATGGACATCGAAACATACTTTCGTTTTGTAGATCCTTTGGGAGCTCCAGCATCGGAAATTCTACTTGACATAATCGAAAGTTCAAGCTTACTTTTATAAAATTGTTCTTACAGTCTGCAAAAAATAATAAGCCGGATCCAATTAGAAGGTTAAGGAATAATGCAATCATCAACATTAACTGATATAGATAATTAGATAATTTTAGCTTATACCGTCCATTATACATTAAACGCGCATGCGAAAACGTATTCTGCACTTGCGCATATGCATATGCGCAGTCGTAATGGTCTTGTGCGCACGCGTAAACGCAACGCATGCACAGAAAGATTTTAGCTTTGAGGCCCGGATTATAGATCATTCCGGATTATGGGTGTCCGAATTAACGACTTTTGACTGTACAGCTAAAAGTAATCCTGCACTCCACTCAAAGGAAACATCACACGAGTACACTCCTAGTCACTAAATACTCGTAGTTACGCTGACATAGTTCGAACGTAGTACTCACTTTTTCCACAAGAAAGAGCATTTTTTAAAATTTTCAATGTAAATTTATGTTATAAATGCTTAATTTAATATTTGCTATTATTTTCATGATAAAAGAATCATTCCTTGTAGTTTTAGCAGTTAATGGATTAAGGCACGGGTGATGCACATGAGCATTTTAAACTGAACCATTTTTTAAGGACCACTAGATGGCATACTGTGTTTATTACTTTTGAACAAAACATATGATCTTGACCTTCAGTTTGATCACATACTGCCTTACTTTGGTATCAGCTGTTGTAGGGGAGAAGAGAAAGTGTAAACAGAGAGAGCTCGGCTCATTCACCATGTGATATAAACAGTCACGTTTCTGATATCCCTTCAAATCCTTTTTTTCAATACTATGATCTTTAAGGGTTACTATGTGGGGTTCTGTTATGTTTGGTGTTGTTCTTATCACTTATATTTTGCATAATTTCCTTTCTGTTTCAAAAATCCTCGACTTCAGTTAATTATCACAAGCGTTATTTAGATGAGGAAGGATATATCTACACGGTAAATGAGCCAATTAGTAGCATAGATGAGAGTGATGATTTATTTTCTAAAGAGTTAGAGAACAATATGTCTAGGAGCTCTGATACAGGCATTTTGACAGAAACTAAGCTCGCTGCATGCCTGCCTTCCACTTTCCGTGAAAGATTTCGTTACTTCTTGTAAACAGTCTTTCCTGTATTTTTTTAATTCCTCTTAAAGTTTATGAATGTATTCTGTCAATTACAACTTTGGAATAGTTTTAATAGCGCTTACAAAAATTACTTCTATCAAGTAAGCAATATTTTAATAAATTTGCTAATTTTAACACATATGATAGCTTAAGTAATAATCTAAAATGATACCCAATATTATGACATTAGGACTTAAAGCGATTTCTTCGTGACTTTTTTCCCTAAAGTTAGGAATGGAAAACCTCATCCTCTGGAACGATTCCTTTAGACTCCCATCCATCATGAAGGGACATTTTAAACAAAGGCATGCCATCTTGAAAGTGTTAAATTAATTAATTAGCAACCATACAGCAATTCAAAGTACACAAAATTAGGAAATGCAATACTATTGTTCACCTGAAATGTAATCAAAAAATAGAAAAGATGAAAGTTTTCTTAAAATGTGAAATTAATTGATGCTATCAACACTTTAAAATTATGCTGGCCATTTAAATATAAATAATATTAGAAGGGGAAAAAAAAAAAAAAAAAACTACTAAGCATATATAAAAACTGATACATCCTGAAAGATCATTCCTTTCCCCTATTATTCATTTTAAATTTTCATATTAAAACCTTGACATTAGGTAAGGATTGATCCTATTAGGAGGCAATATACTACACAGTACAGAGGCGGCCCAAATTTAAGGGCCCCAAATTATTATATTTCGGTACAAAAAGGCAGCCAGTTTTAATTTGAACAAGGGCATCCAACAGTTTAGGATCGTCACTGAATTTTGTTCAAACATAAGGTACAAGAATAGGATCTTTTCATCTCTTTGATACTGGCACCATTACTTTTATTAATTCCATAGCAGTGAATTATTCTATCAGAATATGAGAAAGGAAACTCCCGCGATAAATTAGACCAATATTTTGCAAATAAAAAGCTTTTAAATATACCCTATGTATATAACAAATAAGATTCACTCTTTATAAAAAAAGGACATTTAAAATTATACATCCCATTTTCTCGTATATTAAAATATTACATGCATGACAATAATTTGATTAAAAAATCTTCATTCATACATATGCTCCCAACGTCCGATCATTACATCTGAAGCATGTCACAGGCACTTTAAAAATGGAATAATTTATATCTAAATTATCTAATAAAATTTATAAACGCCTGTTACGTACGTTTCCAGTGGATTTGCTTTCTTATTATTTTAATATTTCAAAACCGCACCTCATTTATGACACAAACAGAATATATAACGGATTTATAAAATATTACGTTATTAATTTACATTACCTTCAATTTAACATAATTAATTATGTTATTGATCAAGGCTGCAGGTGGGAAAGGTCGAAATTTTGAGTACAAAACTGCGTGAGCAGTACCCTGAAACAGAGCAGACGCCATTTTAGTTTCGATCTCAGACACTGAATAAAATAAATATATAAAATATATGAATCATATCTCCAATAGCTAAAACTTTAAGAAAGGACCTTCGTTTTATCTGACCGTTTCAAAATTCGATGATGGAAATAATTTCAATACATTTTAAAAAAAAAATGTTAAAATGTTTATTTGACAACTTAATGAATCTGGCATTTCGTGTTGATGACATCAGATTGTATTTTTCTTTATAATTTCTCATTATGAGGTGTGATTATTAGGCGGTAAATGAAAGAGTTCTTTGTTAAATAAAGTATCGGTGTTTATAGTACAAGGACGTGACGCTAACACATATTTCTATGCTCTTTGTTTGTTCCAAGATAGGCAATCTATATTGGTTTGTCTGCCTGCTTCCAACATCTGGAATCAGGTTTTTGCTATGGGTAATGAGGATTCATGTATATTTAAATCAAACTAATACTATATTGTATTTTGTTGCAATTTTATATCTCTTATGTTACTTTTGAATTATAGGTTATGCTTTTAAAATCAGTTTTAAGGTAGTCTGAATTACTAAAAAATTGTCAGACAACACCGTATGGAATGTTAACATTAAAATCGAGGTATTTAACATCTGAGTTATTCTGTTTAATCACTGGAATTCTTGGATACGAGATTTTTTGTTTCGCCTTTATGCCCTTATTCATATGACGAATCTTCGTTTATATATAATATATATTTGTATTGCTTTAAACAGCTTGTTAATTTAGCTGTTGGGTATATAATAAATTTTAATCTGGATTTTAACTTCTGACATTATTTAAGTTTGTGCTTATAGTTTTATGTCCAACCTCTTAAGAGTGTTAATTTATTTATGTTTAAATGCTAGTGGAACGTCTTAATTATAGATAAGTAAGATTTTCTCTCATTTAATCATTATTCTGGAACAAAAACTGAAACTTAAGAACTGTTTTCAATTAAATGTTATCAATAAAAGTGAAGTTGTTAATAAATTAACAGTTTTTTTTGACACATTTCTGTTTAGTAGTAAAATTATAATTCAAAGATAGATGCAAGTGTGTTTAATAAAAAAAAGCATTTGTTGCATTCGTTTAACAGCATAAGTCTGATATTGTAAATTCATCATTTTGTGTATCTGTTCTATTAAAATTCCTTATAGAACAAAATATTTAGACAAAATTTCTGTTTATCCAGTATTAACCATATTTAGATTTGGTAAGATATTTCTATAGATTTTAAAACAATTGGGTTATCAGTATATTTTTTATGTCAAATGAGGTGTAGTTTACTTATATACAAATGTTACTAAAAAGCATTTTTGTAGCAATACTAATGCTATTTTCTGAAGCATATTAATAGAGAAACTGAGATGGGTAATTTTTTGAACTGATATTTCTTTCAAAATATTTCACTGCAGTGAACAATTAGATTTTGCTTTTAAATTTGGAATTTTCTGAAAGTGCAATAGATTGGTGTGTTAATGGATTAGCTGAAAAGCTGGATTAGCTCATCAAAAGTATAAATTAGATGAACTTAGATTTTTCTGACCTACTCTAAGAGTGTGGAATATTAGTGATACTGTAGAATGTCAGTAATGCTGTTTGTTTCTTTAGAAATTAGCAAAAAAGATAGATTAGGATTGAACTCTTATGTTTTGAAAATGCTTATTTTGCCAAGTGAAATAACTTAATAAGAATGATTTAATCATCACTCAGATTTTGCTTATTTGGATTTTTTAGTATATTTTTGTGGATTTTTGCAAAAATGAGTAGAATTTTTATTATGGAATATGTATTGCATAAAAATGACAAATAGGTTTGATTATTCCTTGAATAGGTAGTTAGAAAGTCACTTGTGTAGGATGGTAAGGTTATAATTTTTTCTCTTGAGTATGTGTGCTTACATATATTGTTATAGATTATTTTATATTATGGGTTAGTAGCTGAAAGGAAGGTTACTTATATTGCTTTTTTTATGGGCAGTATATTTTCATTCAGTGAAGTTTGTAGACTGTTAACAAACACTTAGGCAAGTTATTGATATATCGTGCTCAGAAGGTGATGTACTGTCTTACTTTCTTTTTTGGTCCAAAATACGCACTAGGGCTTATTTTCGGGGGAGGGCAAAAATAAAAGTGTATTTATATATTTTTATTTAATATTTATTTTATACAGAATGCAGAAATTTAAATTTATTCAATTACAGTCATGTCATCTTCTTCTGGAACATCGTCATAAATAAAATTCTGAATTATATTCTGATTTTCTTCCAAATCCATTTCTTGTTGAATCATTGGTTCAAATCTCTCATGTCTTGCGATATAGCTATCGTTAAATGAATACTTCTTGTCTAAGTAGCCTGTTCATGGTGCATTGGAAACATCACTATCAGTTATTTTATCCCATGAATTTTTTACCCAATTCACAACTTCTTGTAAGCCTGGTTTTACAAAATTACCTCGATGATTTTCTCACCATTCTGTTTTCAATATATTCATTGATTTCCATCCGCAAATGATCCTTGAATGGCTTGTTTATTGCAATGTCAAGTGTCTGGAGGTAACCAGTCATTCCTGCCGGAATCATTATTTGATCAATCTTCCTCTCAGCAAGAAAGTTTTTCATGTCTTTAGCGCGGTGAGTACTGGCTGAATCCCAAACTAGTAACTTATAACTGCTTGGGTGCACCAGGCTTTTTCACTTTCAATGACATAAATTCCTGAAACACGTTGAATCTGGTCTTTTTTACCTTTAGTGATTAAAAATGGCGATACTTTCTTGCCATCTAGACGAATCGCCAAAATACAGGTAACACGTGCACTATCGTAACCGGTAGAAGGAACGTAAATTGACGAAGAAGCCTTGTGGTGAACTGTCGTTTGAGCTCCTTGGCCTAGGAATACCGCGGTCTCATCCATAGCAATCATGTTGGAGAGTTGGTATTTCGAAAAATCGATGCCATCAACAAAAAGCTTAAACGCAAGTGCACGCTTAACAACTTCATTGTCTTCCAGCTTAAACAATGTTGTTGATCTCCTTAGAGACAGTTCATATCGTTTAAGGAAGTTGTCCAACCAGTGTGACATGCTTTAAATTCTTCTGTGGATATATCAAATTCAATTGCTGTTTCAAGGGCAAATTTTTGAATATCAGCCCTGCGCACAACCAAAGCCATTGCTCTCCTGCCTGCAATCCATTCCCAGATGCAATCTTCCAACTCAGAAAATAACGGCTGCCGACCTGATCCAACTCTGCGTTTTTTCTCATTTCCTTGGTCCACCAGTTGACACAGGTAATCGTAGTCTGCACGCCATTTACGAACCATACGGAGATCCAGCATCTTCTCTTTACAGAATGCTACAAGATTTACACCCCTGGAGTCTTCCACGATTCCCTTTTTGTACTCGACGGAATAGCTCTTTCGTTTTGTACTCATTTTAACTGGGGTTAAAAATTATTCACTTTATTTTTAAATAAAATTACGTATGAGGAAATAATCAGACTTACAAGACTGAAATGAATGAACGTTGTATACCTGCACTGTCGCTCAATGTAGACTGCTGCCTTATGTTGTATTTTTAACCAGTTCGCCGTTAGGAAAATCGCAAACATTTCGTGCCATTTTTCGCATCCAAAGGTAAACTTTTTGTGTCTAAAACTGGGCTCAGAGTATTTCTTTCCCCCTTTCACCACCTGTGAAAGCCTATTTAGAAGTTCTGTTCAAATCAGATTGAACAGCGTACCTGTCACACTGAAGGATGGTGAATAACAACCCCCTAAGGGGCAACATAAAACACAAAGACTGGTGTAGTCCTTAGAGCAGATATTTTTCCCTTTGCACCCAACCCCAAATCTATTGCAATGTAAATGTAATTTTTAATTGTCAAGAAAAAGCTTTATATAAAGTAAAAATAAGGGCATTAGCTAGTATTTGAAATGTCCTTGAATTTTGTTTTATTATTTTCTTGATGGTCTGTAACAAAAAAGAAGAATTGAGGTTAATATAAATTCCAAGAATTAATTTGAAATGAACGGTAGAGGTAAACAATTAATTTCTCGGAATATTTTGTTTCAAACATTTCTCTGAAATAAGAGTATTAGGAAAGCTAAACATATTATTACTTAATAAATCAACAGCATTTTTTAATGAATTCTTTTTATCACATTATTTTAACTAGGGCTTATTTTTAGAGGATGTCTTATTTTACAAAAAGTTCCGAAAATCCCGATAGGGCTTATTTTCGGAGGATGTCTTATTTTACAAAAAGTTCCAAAAATCACGATAGGGCTTATTTTCAGAAAAAGAGGGTAACATGATTTTTGGTATTATCTTTTTGTATTAATAGTCAGCAAATGAACTTTGAAGATTGCAAGGTACATCAAATTAAAAAAAAAAAAAAAAGGGTATTTTTATATCTCCTGTTCAACTTGGCCGATTGATTAAGTTCAACTTGTGTTTTTCATGTTTTGAAAGTGTGGCTTAGAATGTAAATTAAATTTCTATATTTCATTGTTCCAACATAGGTATTTTGACACAAAATCGGATGTTTTCTGAAACGACATGCCAATTTTTTTCTGTATTTCAATTCTATAACCCAAATTATGCTTAAATTTCCAAATCTTGTGGAAAACTTAGAAAATGGTTTGAGAAAAATTTTTGCTTTCTGTCAAGAGTGGCAAAATTTCAGTTTGTGTTAACAATTTTCCGTTTCATGTTGCGCAGGTGGAAAAATGGCCTCATTTCTTCTTTCCAGCAAATATTTTTACTTTATATTTTTTAATCAGAGTTGTTTTCTGAGATTTTTTTCTGTTTTTAGAATTTCATTTTAATAATTTGAGTTGCTGCATGATTGAAAATTGTATCTTTTTCAATTCTTTTAAATTCTTTTAAAACTATGTATTTATTCATTCACATTGTGTACTTTAAGCATATTTGTTCATATAATTTTTTTAAAATTCAGTTTTATTTATTTGAATTCCATTTCTTTCAAAAATTCAAATATTTTTGACTTGGTATAAATCACAACGCCTTGGAAAACTGTATATTACATTGAAAGAGAAGATACTGTTAAGATTGGTTAATACATCTTTCAGTGGGCTGTTCATTCAGAAAAGATATATAAAGAGAGTGTGGTCTTTGGTTTTTTTTTTTTTTTTTTTTTTTTTTTTTTTGTGTGTGTGTGTCCTTTAATACTGTGAGCAATATGACCGGCTTTATCTGGTCATCAGAAGTTTTGCAACTTGGCATATATTAACTTATATTTTAAGATATTTTGCTTTCTTACTTTCTATAATAATGTAAATATCTTAATAAACGTAAGTTTATGAAAATACAAACTAAAATAAGTAATTATACAAGCTCAATTAATACATGCTGTTTAAAAACCGGTCTTCACCACAGATCTAAAATTCTGTGCTGCTCA